CGGTGATCGTACTGATAAAGTGTAGATATAACTCTGTTGGGTCTTCACTTACATTTTTTTCGTTTTCCCGATGAAACATTTTTTCACACTCTACCGAGAAAAGTGTCCAGTTCATGTTCCGAAAGGACCATCTGATATCTTCCATTTCGTCTTGTTTATTATCGTTGTGCTTTTTATCTAGTATGATATGAATAGAGATTGGGTAATGATCGCTTCCAAATTTGTTTTGTAAAGCGCGCCACTCGCATTTGCCAGATAAGAGGGAGGACGTAATAGATAGATCTAAAACTCTATTTCCCTATTGCGCTTTATATATGCGCTTTATATATGCAATTTTGGCGCCAAAAATGGACCCCCCCAGGAAGTGAAGGAGGGGTCTCAAAATTTGAACCCCATCATTTTTGGCCAATTGGGACCCTTTTGAAGCCAAAACAGCCAAAAAATCAATTTTGGCAAAAAAATCCTACGGGATTACATACCATACCGCACTAATACAGGAGGTGACATAAATGAGGATGTTATGAAGGATACTAGGGGTAACATTGAGAGAAAGAGAAACGAGGAAAAATGAAAGGGGCTGGAGGTAGCTAACATCCAGGAGAAGCTTAAAGGGAAAGTCCACCCCCAAAATAAGTTTGTTTCGATAGAGGCAGAATAATAAGAAAATCAGGTGAGTGAAAGTTTGAGCAAATTCTGAATGAAAATAAGAAAGTTATGAATTGTGATTGTGATCAATCAAACACAAATTGGCAACTCTATGACGTATCATGCGAGCTCAACTTCCATTTGCTCAGTACTAAAAAAATCTAAAATTTTCATTTTCCCTCAAGAAAAATTTCAACCATACATGCACCCTAAATATAATAATTGCAAATATGTTTCTATACTCCCCCTGCAAGGAACAAATATATATTCCGTCATCAATAACGAAGAAAACATGATTTTATGGAATATTATGCACAAAGCAAATGAAGCTCGTATAATAAGTCACAGAGTTGCCAATTTGTATTTGATTGATCACAACTTCAATAATTCATAACTTTCTTATTTTCATTCAGAATTTGCTCAAACTTTCACTCGCCTGATTTTCTTATTATTCTGCCTCTATCAAAACAAACTTATTTTGGGGGTGGACTTTCCCTTTAAGGACACATAGTGAGATGGTTTGGACATTTGGCTGATAAAAGGGATTGGGTACCTTTGTCTCAGATTCTGAAACAAAATCCTGGATTTAGCTCATGCTGCAATGATATTTATAAACCTTTAGGTCAGTCAGGAACCCACTGACTTTTACAAGCCGATCTAATGTCTTATTATCAAGATATTCAGGATAGGAAATCGTAATTTAAGAATTTGTTTTCCTAATGGTTTTTATAACACTACAGGCTATTGGGGGAAATGATTTTTACTTTCTTGAGGTCACTTCATGATCATTTTGAATCACAATTTTTCTAGGGCTTCACTGTTGCACCATATTACAGACACTGATAACGCATAGAGCCATGCATCTCAGATTTAACATCGTTAAACGAAGCCTTAAAAAACAGCTTTCCCCTCTCTCTTTTCTTTCTTTCATAGTTTCCTTCTCTCTTTTCAAAGATTCTCTATCTCTTGAAGACAATTTCCTGAAATATTTGTTTGCCCTTTCTGTTTTCCTAAAGTTGGCTGTCCTTTAAACTTCAAAGTTCAATAACCCCATACCCATCGGCTATTTACCACTTCTTCACATAGTTTTGAAATAGAGATGTTCATCAGAAAAATCCATTAAAAAAGATGATTTTTTTTGGGGGGGGGGGGACCATTTTTCCCCCTCCTCCCTCTCTCTCTCTCTCTTTGCCAGGCTGAACATTAATTTTTCAAATTGAAAAGTTTTCTTGGATCACAAAGAGGAAATTAATAACTTTGGTTCATCATTAAATAGGATTTTTTTTTTTTAATGGCAATTAGCACATCTATCATTTCAAGTTGGCATTGACGATAGCACTATGATGCAGAAAGTTTGCTTTTTCTTTGTACCTTAAATCTTTTCATGGTCATCTTACGTCATGAAAGATTTATGTCTTTTGTTCATTTTTTCCATTTGTCTGGGCCGGAAAGAAATGATTAAGTCTTAAAGGGATCGTTTAACAATGTTAAATCTGAGATACACGGCCCTACAAGTTATCAGTGTCTGTGATATGGTGTAATATTGAAGCCCTAAAAAAATTGCGCACCAAAATGATCAAGAAGTGCCTCAAAAAAGTAAAAATGTTTGAGTGACCGGTTTTACTATACTTGTTTTCCCCAATAGACTGTAGTGTTATGAAAACCGTTTAGCAAATAGTTTTCAAAATTTGTAATTCCAATCATAAATATCTTGATAATCAGACAGGTGATTGGCTTGTAAAAGTCATGGGGTTCCTGACTGACCTAAAGGTTTATAATTATCACTGCAGCATGAGCTAAATCCAGAATTTTGTTTCAGAATATGAGACAAAGTTACCGGATCCCTTTAAAGGGACTTGGTAACATTGTTCAGATGAGAGATAGTGGTTCTAAGGTAGTGACTTCAATGCTAGATGTACAATTAACGATAATCTGAAAATTTGAGTGAAAAGGGACCATTATTAATGATGCAAATTGGACAAAACTGATCTGATCGATTCCTTAATTCTCCCAACTATTTTATTACAAATTAATTACATTTTAGGTGAATGTTAATCGTCACAAAGCAACAAATTGGCTCTACATACCATTCCAGACATTTAAGTATTGACAGATCTTTAATGGCCTGTTTTATGTCTTTTTTTCATGGAAAAACGGTTGGGAGAATTTACTGTTGATCACTGTTGGAGGGTGTTGCACAGTGATGCCTTCAAAGAAAACCATAGATACATGTATCTTTGTGGTTTGAGAATTTGTTCAGGATTTTTTGCATATCAGAGGGTTACAAATGTAGTACAGTAGAAGGAATATGATAAGTATCATTTTTAAGCAATTTTTTCATCAACCTTCAACAATGTTACCAAGTCACTTTAATCCGTTTTAGTTTCTCAATGGTCAGAACATGGTGGTGCATTCGTTGAGGGTGTTAATTGCTTCCTTATACGTGTACCAGAATATCTCCAAGCTGTCATGGATTTCAAAATTGACAATACAGAGACACTGGTGTTCAATGAGCTGGCTATGATGAAATTCAGTTAACTGTGTATAAGTCAAGTCAGTTGGGACCGCAAAAAATAGTTTGGAGAAGAAAAAAAACAGAGTAACCCATCAAAACTTAACCTAAGAATTACTGTAGGTGGAAAAATACCACAATTGCAAGAAAATGAAACGGGTATATGGGTAAACAACCTTAGCTTCATTGGGGGGAAGACCTGAATTCACTTCTGGCAAAAAGAAAGAGGAAATATTTGTGCTGGCATGGTCATGTTGGTTGAGGGGGTTTCCCAGCCGTTGCCGGTAAGACGAAGGTTCAAAGAACTTTCTCACCTACCAAAGGCAATTCTAATTGGCATTGGAATGGCAATTATGAAATAGAGAGGTCAGAAAAATGTAATGAAGTAGATAACACGTATTGCATAGTTCAGTCCAAAAATATTTGATTCGACCAAGGACCAAAATTTTGACCTGTGCGACGTAGAGTTATGCAGTGTTAACTGGTAATATAAAAGTTGCAAGGGGGTGTTTCACAAAGATCCTAAGTCAAACTTAGCTCTAAGTTTGACTTAAACATTATGGAAAGCCATTTGTAACCTTGAAATAAAATATAAATAAAATATAATCAAAAGAAAACATTCAAGTATTTTAGAGTTTTCATAAATTCCCCATCAAGAACATGAATCTCCTCGATAATAGAAAAATATTAATGATTTGAATTAGTGCTGTAGCCGAACCGCCGAACCGCCGAACCGAACGGAAGTTCGCCAAACATGGCACTTCCGAACCGAACCGAACCGAACGCAAAGGCCTGGTTCGGATGTTCGGCAAAAAAAATGTAAACGTTTCTGCAAGCTAATAAACTTTTCATTTTGTACTTAATTTTCATGTTATGATTGCTCATATTATATTTACTTTTTTTCCCATTTTCCGCCCTTGTGATTAATGCCTATCCAGTGGTGGGCGCAACTTCACTGGCGCCATTTAAATCCCAAATCCTGACCACGCTACGTCGCGATCGCAAGCCATAAGCAAGAATACATGTGCGTGATCAAAACAAGTTCAGCTCAATTTGCTCAAACCCATTGAACAAAAAATTAATATTTTAATTGTAACCATATCGGACAAATTTTACAATATAAATAATGAAATAAATATATATTATAGTATGGTATTTATTTATTCAGGAAAAATAGGGATTTTATATTTTTCCTATTGAAAATAAAAACTTATAAAAAACAGTTCTTGGCGAGCCTGAAAGTCTCTATTCAAGATGGCACCTTTTATGACTCTAACATTAGACAACAACCATCTCGGAAAATCTTTTAAAAACATCATTTATTGACAAATCTAAAACATGATTCTTTTAAAATTGAAAATAAAACACGATTCAAGACGGAAATACGAATGTAAGTAGTATTTTTCTTCACAAATAATTACGTTTAGAGCAGTTTTTTAATGTGAAATTTGTGCTGGTCGGAAGCAGTGTGCAGAAGTCCTCCGTGCCGGTCGGGCCCGGCAGGGCGGGCGGCCTGCCCAGTCCCGACGGCCGTGGCTATAACGCTGCTTGCAATTAAATTACCGAACCCCGAACCGAACCAAGTTCGGGTGAAAAATTGCCGAACTCTGCCGAACCGAACCGAACACGAACATAGCGTCTGACTTACAGCACTAATTTGAATCAACATTTGATGCCTTTTAATATAACTACTACAAAATATTCTCCAAGATGCTAACGGCTTTCCATAATTGTTAGGTCCAACTTAAAGACAAGTTCAACTTAAGATCTTTGTGAAACACCCCCCTGGTGTTATTAGGTCTCTATCCCTGTGAAGACACTTTGTGGTGACCCTTGACCTCACCTGGGTGACTAACGGCGTAAGTAGAGCAGCCGCTGACTTGCCGATGCAGCGGATGGCGAACCTTAGGCACCTGCAGTACCTCTCGATGACCCTGATGTCAGCCTGGTACTTGGTGCACGTCTCCGACAGGACGGGCCAGATCTCCTGCAGGACGACGAGACAGGGGTGGACTTGGCCGTTGGTGATTTGAGGATTGGTGTGCCTGTATGGGCGAGAGAGAGAGAAGTGTAAGGATGATGGAGATGAAAGACAAATTACAATAGGCCTGTCCTCATCAGCTCAAGTTTCCCAAATAACTTGATATTATCACAAAGCTCGAAATTGCTTCTTCACCAGACCGATACACTCATCACAAATTAGCTCGGACGGGCGCATATTAGCCCGCCATTTCCTAATAGCGGGATATTTTGGAAACCAAGATTTCTCAGGATATTTTCACGACCAAATATCCTGCTAATTGCAACTGCGGGCTGATGAGGATGCAATCGGGATCGCTAAAATGGGGGGTTATTTGGCAAACTCGAGCTGATCAAGACAGGACTAATGAGGAAGATGACTTAGTTCTTTTATATTACTCTCTTTGTTTTCCTGTTTATTGGGAAATTGCATCATTGAATTGGACAGCATTCCATTCACTTATTGAAGAGAGGAAACACAAATGGAAAGGAAGAGGAGAGAAAGAAGAGTATAAAAGGGAGAAAAGGTATGGCAATAAGTACAGTATGACATGAAGATAGAAGGGAGGGAAGAGAAAGAAAGTGAGAAGAGGAGAACCAGAGGAAAAAATATATAATGGGAGCAGTGAGCAAGTTTGCTTGGAGGAGAGAGGAAAATGGGTTGGGGGGGGGGGGGCAGAGGAAATGTGTGAAAGGAAATGTGAAAGAGAATAGAGAAGGGGGAAGTGAGGATGGTTGGGGGAAGTGAGGAGAGTTGGGGGAAGTGAGGAGGGTTGGGGGAAGTGAGGAGGGTTGGGGGAAGTGAGGATGGTTGGGGGAAGTGAGGAGAGTTGGGGGAAGTGAGGAGGGTTGGGGGAAGTGAGGAGGGTTGGGGGAAGTGAGGAGATTTGGGGGAAGTGAGGAGGGTTGGGGAAGTGAGGAGAGTTGGGGGAAGTGAGGAGAGTTGGGGAAGTGAGGAGAGTTGGGAGAAGTGAGGATGGTTGGGGGAAGTGAGGAGAGTTGGGGTAAGTGAGGAGAGTTGGGGAAAGTGAGGATGGTTGGGGGAAGTGAGGAGAGTTGGGGGAAGTGAGGAGAGTTGGGTGAAGTGAGGAGGGTTGGGGGACGTGAGGAGGGTTGGGGGAAGTGAGGAGAGTTGGGGGAAGTGAGGAGAGTTGGGGGAAGTGAGGAGGGTTGGGGGAAGTGAGGAGGGTTGGGGGAAGTAAGGAGGGTTGGGGGAAGTAAGGAGGGTTGGGGGAAGTGAGGAGAGTTGGGGGAAGTGAGGAAAGTTGGGGGAAGTGAGGAGGGTTGGGGGAAGTGAGGAGAGTTGGGGAAAGTGAGGAGGGTTGGGGAAGTGAGGAGGGTTGGGGAAGTGAGGAGGGTTGGGGGAAGTGAGGAGATTTGGGGGAAGTGAGGAGAGTTGGGGGAAGTGAGAAGAGTTGGGGGAAGTGAGGAGGGTTGGGGAAAGTGAGGAGGATCGGGGGAAGTGAGGAGAATTGGGGGAAGTGAGGAGGGTTGGGGGAAGTGAGGAGGGTTGGGGGAAGTGAGGAGAGTTTGGGGAAGTGAGGAGGGTTGGGGGAAGTGAGGAGAGTTGGGGGAAGTGAGGAGGGTTGGGGGAAGTGAGAGAAGGGGAAAGTGAGGAGGGTTAGGGGAAGTGAGGAGGGTTGGGGTAGTGAGGAGGGTTGGGGGAAGTGAGGAGGGTTGGGGGAAGTGAGGAGAGTTGGGGGAAGTGAGGAGAGTTGGGGGAAGTGAGGAGGGTTGGGGGAAGTGAGGAGAGTTGGGGGAAGTGAGGAGGGTTGGGGGAAGTGAGAAAAGGGGGAAGTGAGGAGGGTTAGGGGAAGTGAGGAGAGTTGGGGGAAGTGAGGAGGGTTGGGGGAAGTGAGGAGAGTTGGGGGAAGTGAGGAGGGTTGGGGGAAGTGAGAGAAGGGGGAAGTGAGGAGGGTTGGGGGAAGTGAGGAGAGTTGGGGGAAGTGAGGAGGGTTGGGGGAAGTGAGAGAAGGGGGAAGTGAGGAGGGTTAGGGGAAATGAGGAGAGTTGGGGAAGTGAGGAGAGTTGGGGGAAGTGAGTTGTGGTTGTGTTAGGCAGGTGGTCGTTATAGGCAAGTTAGTTAGTACATGAATTCTCTACAAGGGAATCATTAGTGGTCGTTATGGACAGGTACCCGCTAAGGCAGGTTTGACTGTATATCATGTATTTGGCTTACATGTATATATATTGAATTCAATTTCTGTGTAGAATATGCTCAGATAATCATTTCAAAGATAAGTTAGAAATGGATGATGAAAAGCACAAGAAAACCAAAAGGCCTCATCTAAAAAACTACAAAACAAAGTACATGTAATTGCAAATACTGGTAAAAAGATTGTTGGAATACAAAATCCTAACAAATTTGGCAAGAGACAAACAAGTTCATAAGAAAAGCAACAAAAAACTATGGAGGAAAAAGACAAATTAAGAATTCTTAAAGTTCACTGCCTTTCAATAAAGTCCAGCCCACAAGCAAAAAGTCATAAAATAACAGGTCAGACACATTAGAATCATTTTTATGTTGCATCATCAATAACTTCCTTTGTTATGTACATCATTGTAAAGTTTGTAGTGTCTCAACTGAATTTTATGACAATGCATGTCAAACATACATTGGACAAAAAAACAAAAAAACAATGAAATATTTGTGTTTCTTTCTTGTGAGGAGGGGGGGGGGGGTGGGCAGTTGGCAATTAATTCTATGCATAATGAGTTGGAATGCTTACCTGAATATAGTAGCCAGTCTGTCTAGCCACACCACCGGATCTGTTGAAGCACCTTGTTTTGATGAAGCTTCACCTTTCACGATCTAAAATATGATTTGGAAAAAGTGCAGAATCCTCCATCAAAATGACATTTGACCCCCATCCCTAATCCGAACTCTCACCCTAATCCAAACTCTAACCCAAACTCCAATCCTAACTCTAACCCTTACTCTAACCCCAACCCTAATCCTAACTCTAACCCTAATCCAAACTCCAATCCTAACTCTAACCCCATCCCTAATACTAACCTTAAACCTAACTTTAACCCCATCCCTAATCTGAACTCTAACCCTAATCCAAACTCTAACCCAAACTCCAATCCTAACTCTAACCCTTACTCTAACCCCAACCCTAATCCTAACTCTAACCCTAATCCAAACTCCAATCCTAACTCTAACCCTTACTCTAACCCCAACCCTAATCCTAAATCTAACCCTAATCCAAATTCCAATCCTAACTCTAACCCTTACTCTCACCCCATCCCTAATACTAACCCTAAACCTAACTTTAACCCCATCCCTAATCCGAACTCTAACCCTAATCCAAACTCGAACCCAAACTCCAAACCTAACTCTAACCCTTACTCTAACCCCAACCCTAATCCTAACTCTAACCCTAATCCAAACTCCAATCCTAACTCTAACCCTTACTCTAACCCCATCCCTAATACTAACCCTAAACCTAACTTTAACCCCATCCCTAATCCGAACTCTCACCCTAATCCAAACTATAACCCAAACTCCAATCCTAACTCTAACCCTTACTCTAACCCCAACCCTAATCCTAACTCTAACCCTAATCCAAACTCCAATCCTAACTCTAACCCTTACTCTAACCCCATCCCTAATACTAACCCTAAACCTAACTTTAACCCCATCCCTAATCCGAACACTAACCCTAATCCGAACTCTAACCCTAATCCAAACTCTAACCCTAATCCAAACTCTAACCCTAATCCAAACTCTAACCCTAATCCAAACTCTAACCCTAATCCAAACTCTAACCCTAATCCGAACTCTAACCCTAATCCAAACTCTAACCCGAATCCTGCCTCTAACCTAAATCACAAACATTAACCTAAACCCAATATCCATGGTGGCGTTTTCAGCAGTAAAATTGTAATTGCAACAGATCCAGACACAATTATCGCTTCATAAAAATGACAAATGACTTCCATCTTCTAAATTATTATGAAAAAGAGTCAATTACTGAGTAATAAGCAAAATATCAAGGACTTTGATTTGTATCTAGGAAATAGTAGGCACCAACTGAAGGAAGGGTTAACAGGACAGTGACTCTGTAAAATTTACAAACTCCAATACCTCCATGGCGACCCTTTAAAGCCTGTCTGCACAAGGTTGGCAAGGGGGATTAGACCTCCCTGCAAGGTCACTGACAGGTGGTTATCTCATGAAATCAGCTCTCAATTAACATAAGAAAAAGAGGATCACGGGGGACCAACGGTCACCGCTAAGGCATTGTTTGCTATATAGAGGGCGCAAGTAGCTGTAAGTAGTGCAGTGGGGCTTTAAAAACCTGTATAGATTCATCCTGCTCTGGAGACGGGTAAACAATCTTGGAGGACTTAACCGGGTAGTCCATCCTAATATTAAGTTGGTTTTAATAGAAGCAGAAAAATGAGAGAAACTGGTGAGTGACAGTTTGTGCAAAAACCAATTAAAAATTAGAAAGTTATGAATTTTTAAAGGTGCGATCAACCAAACACAAATTGGCAGCTCTGTGACGTAGCTTGTGAGCTCCGCTCCCATTTGCCCTGAACTTTAAAAAAAAAAATCAAAGGTCTATATTTTCAATATTAAAAATTTCAATCATACACTCACTCTAGATAGAACTATTGTAAATATGTTTTGATATAACCCCTGTACGAAACAAATCTATTCCGTCATCAATAACTAAGAAAATGAAAGCTCGCAAGATACGTGACAGTGTTGCCAATTTGTGTTTCACTGATGACATCTTAAAAATTCAAAACTTTCCTAATTTTAATCAGATATTAGTCCAACTTTCAATAGTTTGTTCCTCTCAAACTTCTGCTTTTATTAAAACAAACTTAACATGTGGAGGCCTTCCCCTTTAAAGGGAAAGTCCACCCCCAAAATAAGTTTGTTTCGATAGAGGCAGAATAATAAGAAAATCAGGTGAGTGAAAGTTTGAGCAAATTCTGAATGAAAATAAGAAAGTTATGAATTATTGAAGTTGCGATCAATCAAATACAAATTGGCAACTCTGTGACTTATTATACGAGCTCTCCTTCATTTGCTTTGTGCATAATATTCCATAAAATCATGTTTTCTTTGTTATTGATGACGGAATATATATTTGTTCCTTGCAGGGGGAGTATAGAAACATATTTGCAATTATTATATTTAGGGTGCATGTATGGTTGAAATTTTTCTTGAGGGAAAATGAAAATTTTAGATTTTTTTAGTACTGAGCAAATGGAAGTTGAGCTCGCATGATACGTCATAGAGTTGCCCATTTGTGTTTGATTGATCACAACTTCAAAAATCCTAACTTCCTTATTTTTAATCGGAATTTGCTCAAACTTTCACTGACTTGTTTCTCTCATTTTTCTACTCCTATTAAAACTAACTTAATTTCAGGGTGGACTTTCCCTTTAAGTTTGGTATATATATACAGTGAGTCCCAGAAAAAACGAAACTGAGAACTATCGATGTTTTATCATAACTTAATCACAACCATAATTAATGAATGATACATATTTGGAAAGCTTAGAGCCTCCTCTTTCATGTGATGCTACTCAGATGATGCATATTACATTCATGAGTGATTAAAAGCAATTTGAAGGAAGGAAAACAAAAAGTAATTTGGCGGGCGGTATCTGAATTTCAAAGAAAAATTCATATTTCTAGAAAGTTCATTTTCTGCTCTTTCATATGATACCTCAATCAAGTAAAATGAGACAGGAATAACAAAGTTCTGTTTGTTTAAAGTAGCCCTTATATTTTCATAATTTTAACAAACGAAATCCTTTTCACTGGGTGCTTGCAGTAGCAAAAAGCAGATTTGACAACAACAATGTTCTGGCTCTTGAATAAGAACCATTTCTTTCAGGGTTCCTTACATACCTGTGACAGAGACGTAACTTGGACCAGGACCAATCTCTTTAGACCATCTTGGACCTTGTCTAAAGGCATCCTGGCCAACACCAGGGCTGTACCTACATGAGAGAAGAAGAAGAAAGATTGGATTTATATTCATGTAGTGCCTTTTTCAGAGGACACAAGCAGGGAAAAAATAACTTTAAAAATTTGGAGGGGGGCTACTTTTCAAGCTCGCTTCCATGAAAATAACATCCTTTATTTGTTTTGCATAGAACTCTATGCAAAATTTGGGGGCTCTTTTATGCCTTTTGGGGGCTCTTTTGGGCATTTCGGGGGCTAATTCGCCCCGAGCCCCTGTGTAGTTTTTCCCTGGACACAAGGCAATGTCCGTTAGGCTAAGGACACATTAAAGGGACTTGGTAACATCGTTAAAATGAGAGAAGATGGTGCTAAGGTAGTGACATCAATGCTATATTAGTACAATTTAAAGGTAATACAAAGTTTTGGTATGGGGTCATGAATTTGGTTCAAATGAATATATTGGAAGCATATGCGATCCTACGATATTCAGTGATCGTTGTCGCGGTTGAAATCGAGTCTAAAGTTATGAAATTGTAAATAATTAACTCTTTATGTTGTATAGCTCCCTCTCGAGGTCAAGATATTATTTAAGCGATAAAACAATGTTTCTTGAATAAAATCAATGGATTAGCTATTCCTGTTTGCAAATTGTATATCACAACTACACATTCTGATATTTTCATGGTCGCAGCTACCATTGTACGGCCGTTATTTCAAATTTATCAAAATTTACCGGGAGCACCGGTAAATTTTTATATTCAATGTTTCTTGAAAACAGAAGTGTTTTAGGAGATACATTTTCTAGTGCTTATAATACATCCACAGGGGCATCCAAATATATCAAAATTGTAAAGAACCACTATCCTTCCAATTTTCAAAATTTCACAAAAATTTATATTACCTTTAAGATAATCTGAAAGTTTGAGTGAAAACAGACCATTATTAATAATAAAAATTCTTTGATTCTTCCAACTATATCAGAATTAAATTAAATTTTAGGTGAATGTAAAAAGGCACAAAGCAATGAATTGGGCTCTATATTCCATTCCAGACATTTAAGTGTTAACATTTTTAGAAGCCTATCTTTAATGTACTGTACCGGTATGTCTTATTTTCATGGAATTTGCGTCATATGATTTGTGATACTTGATAACCCTTGTGTACAAGTTTCATGGAATTTGAACAAACGCTTTTGAAATTATGCTAAAAATTGAAAATCTTGATGTTGATAACCACAACAAAAACCTGAGGTTAAGTTTTTGATGTTGACGCCGCCGCAATCGCCGTCACCGGAAAAGTGCCGCTTACATGTATGTCTCGCTTTTTGCTACACAGGCGAGACAAAAATGGTTAGGAGAATTTACTGTTAGAGGGTGACGCCTTCAAAGAAAGCCATAAGTATGTATGTGGTTTGAGAATTTTTTCAGAATTGTTTGCATGTTAGAGGGTTAGTTCAGTAGAAGGAATATATACAGTGCGTCCCAGAAAAAACTAAACCGAGAATTATCGATGTTTTATCATAATTTAGTCATAATTATAATTAATAAATGAAACATATTTGGAAAGCTTAGATCCTCTTCTTTCATTTGATGCAACTTATATGATGCATATTTTACGCATGAGTGATTAAAGGGAAAGTCCACCCCCAAAATAAGTTTGTTTCAATAGAGGCAGAATAATAAGAAAATCAGGTGAGTGAAAGTTTGAGCAAATTCTGAATGAAAATAAGAAAGTTATGAATTATTGAAGTTGTGATCAATCAAATACAAATTGGCAACTCTGTGACTTATTATACGAGCTCTCCTTCATTTGCTTTGTGCATAATATTCCATAAAATCATGTTTTCTTCGTTATTGATGACGGAATATATATTTGTTCCTTGCAGGGGGAGTATAGAAACATATTTGCAATTATTATATTTAGGGTGCATGTATGGTTGAAATTTTTCTTGAGGGAAAATGAAAATTTTAGATTTTTTTAGTACTGAGCAAATGGAAGTTGAGCTCGCATGTTAGTCATAGAGTTGCCAATTTGTGTTTGATTGATCACAACTTCAAAAATCCTAACTTCCTTATTTTTAATCGGAATTTGCTCAAACTTTCACTGACTTGTTTCTCTCATTTTTCTACTCCTATTACAACTAACTTAATTTCAGGGTGGACTTCCCCTTTAAAAGCAATTTGAAGGAAGGAAACCAAAAAGTCATTTGGCGGGCGGTATCTGAATTTTAAAAAGAAAATCACATTTCTGGTAGTTTAAAGTGATGCTTGCATTTCCATAATTTGATTTTAAGGTTTGTTTTCAGTAGCCTCCTGCCGTAGCAACAAGCAGAATTGACAAAAGACTCAACTCCGTTTCGTTGAAAATCAGCCATTTTTTCTGGGATGCACTGTATAACAATTAAAATTCATAGAATAATGACAAAGTCTTTTCATCAACCTTCAACAATGTTAACGAGTCACTTTAAGAAGAATTGTAGTGGAGCAATGAATGTTTTCAGATGTGCTTTTGAAAAATTCAAGTGTAATACTACTTCTTAGACATGCAAGGGAGTGTGTTACATAAGAGTGTGACGATAGATTGAAAAGATTTCAAGCCAGCCAGTTTCTGAGATTTGGGAATGAAAAAGAAAGAGATGATGCAGAAGAAAATTTAGATATTGGTTAAGATAAAAACTTGTTTGTTTCTTTCTTCTCTATTGTCTCATTTCTTTTTTCTCCTTTTCTATTTTTGTTTAAAATAATGTTTCATTTACAGTAGGCTTTGCAGGTGCACCATGTGAGAGAGAGAGAGAGGATTGAGGAGGCCTGAAAAGGACTCTGACTCGGTAATCTGTTAATACCAATTTAGAACAAAAAGGCTTGAAATGTCTTTTTGTGGGAAAATAAAGATCATTAGTTGTCGAATGGAATTTAGGGATTGCAGTCCGCCAGTCCCTTTTATTAAGTAGTCTAATTTTCAGACCCTTGTACCAAATGGTTGTACGATTTGTGCTGCGCAAAGATTCAATCAGTTTAATTTTGGCCATTACAAGAAGTGGGTTATTGATGTAGAAAACTGCTCATGTACCCTTTACAGCACATTTTATGTTGTTACCAAAGAAAAAAAAAAATCAGTCAGTCAGTCATTCAATAGTGTCTGACAGTGAAGTCTAATAAGTAAACAGGTTTCCTTGCATTATTTGAATACTAGTACACTGCTAACGTTTAAATTTCACAGATAGGACATATGTGACTTATTCATAATTCCTGCAAAGTTCTACCGAATTTGATGTTGGCTGCAAAAGGGATATTCTACCTTTAAAGGGGAAGTCCACCCTGAAATTAAGTTAGTTTTAATAGGAGTAGAAAAATGAGAGAAACAAGTCAGTGAAAGTTTGAGCAAATTCCGATTAAAAATAAGGAAGTTAGGATTTTTGAAGTTGTGATCAATCAAACACAAATTGGCAACTCTATGACGTATCATGCGAGCTCAACTTCCATTTGCTCAGTACTAAAAAAATCTAAAATTTTCATTTTCCCTCAAGAAAAATTTCAACCATACATGCACCCTAAATATAATAATTGCAAATATGTTTCTATACTCCCCCTGCAAGGAACAAATATATATTCCGTCATCAATAACGAAGAAAACATGATTTTATGGAATATTATGCACAAAGCAAATGGAGGAGAGCTCGTATAATAAGTCACAGAGTTGCCAATTTGTATTTGATTGATCACAACTTCAATAATTCATAACTTTCTTATTTTCATTCAGAATTTGCTCAAACTTTCACTCACCTGATTTTCTTATTATTCTGCCTCTATCGAAACAACTTATTTTTGGGGTGGACTTTCCCTTTAAGAGCATTACATATGAGCTTTGACCATTGCACTACAAGAAGATAGGTTAACACATTCAACAGAAGGCTTTCATTTATTCATTACTGGACACCTAGATGCATTAACTCTGTCTCATAAAACCACCTGACGCACTAGGTTTCGTCATTGGTTTTATCTCCCGCCTACTCAGTCTCGAAAGCACCACTTTAAAGTACTTAACGTCAAACGTGCGTGGGATGATTTAGTGCATAAATGTGCGAGGACAGATCACAGCCAAAGATAAATGTCTGAAGGATGTAAATTTATATCAGAGAATGCCTACTGATATGTTCGCACGGGTGACGGGACAAGATTAGTTTTAATCTTGAAAGGAAACCTCATCCCAAAGAATAAGTGTAGGTATTATGAAAATGGGATTTAGTAGTCCTGCCCTTTGATGTACAACATTCCTTACGAAAATGTACAAGAGATATATATACGGTAAAAGAAAATATTCTTGGAATTTATGTGATGCCTTTAAAGATTAAAGACCAGTTATGGTCCTGCGATTGCATTGTGAAAGAAATGTTGTGGAATCGATTAGAAAAGGTTCATCAAGCATATAAGTATTGGTGTGTACTGCAAGGTTCTGGAATCATCAACATGATAAGAAATTTGGCCCAGTCTTCGTAAAGTTACAAGCACTGTACACAGAAAGATGTATATGGGACTACGCACAGGTGCGCGACACATGCGTTTATCTCTCACATCCCAATAGATAAACTAATTTACCAAATATATCAATTAGTAGGCGGTTTCCCGGCAAAATTGTTTATCATCATGTATTGGTCAAAACATATTCTTTCACATGATTGGTAACAAGAGCTTCCATTTCATTTTTTGAAATTTGGGCATTTCCAATACTGGCTTTTACCTTTATTTTTAAGTCTGATTTTTAGACACTTGTACCAAATGGTTGTACATTTTGTGCTATTACAAGAAGTGGGCTATTGATGAATTTGATGTACATGTACATGTAGACAGATGCTTACGTATACTGGCTTTACAGCTCATTTTATGTATTTTATTACCAAAGAACAAAAAAGGAGTCAGTCAGTCACTCAACAGGGTCTGACACTTATGACAGTGAAGTCTAGAAGGTACACAGGTTTCCTTGCTAAATTTCAATATCAGTACACTGCTAACTTTTAAATTTCACAGATAGGACATACATGTACATGTACCGTAAATCTCTGTGTATAAGACACACTTTTTTTTCGAGTTATGCCCTCCACCTGGCACTGGGCCTGGCAATGTCCCCCAGCTCAGTCATACCACTCAGAAACTAGAACAACACTACCTGAATGTCCCGATTTCTGTCATCTTTAATTTTAAAAACTAATTATCAGAATGATGAACATTTGTTTTTGAAACTAAATGTTCATAATTCTGATAACTTCATTATTACTAAATGTTCATTATTGTGATAACTTCATTGTTACTACTAAATATTCATTATTCTGATAACTTCATTGTTACTATTATTTTGGACAAGTTCATTATTCTAATAACTTCATTGTTACTACTATTTGTGACAAGTTCATTATTCTGATAACTTCATTGTTACAGACATATTATTTGTGACAAGTTCACAAGCAAAATTTGGCGCCTCCAACTGCACCTCGCAGTAAAATAAAGGTCCTTTCCCGCATGGGTTTTTGAACACGTACATGTACCTGGCTTGCTGGCTACGAAGTCAGGCCAAAAAAAAAAGACTTTTTTTTGGCCCCCAAAATAGGGATGTGTCTTATACACGGGTGCGTCTTATACAACGGTGCGTCTTGTGCACAAAGATGTTAGGTATGTGACATATTCAATATTCCTGCACAGTTCTACAGAATTCGATGTTTGCTGCAAATGGGAAAAAGTTGGAAAACTGCAAACATTTCTGGATCAAAGTTCTACTCGTCATCTTGTTAATGCCTTTGTAACTTCCCACCTTGATTACTACAATGGACTATTAATCAGTCTCCCTAGATTTGGCATCTTTGTTGCATTTATGGCTGGTTGCCTAGCAACTTCTGACAAAACTCTGGAGTGTGAAAAACCAAGTTTTGTTTGCAGTGTAAATGCAGCTTCTGTCATCCATACCATTCTCTCTCTTTCTCTCTGTCATCCCTCCGTTCTCTCTCTCTCTCTTTCTCTCTGTCATCCTTCTGTTCTCTCTCTCTCTCTTTCTCTCTGTCATTCCTCTGTTCTCTCTCTCTCTCTTTCTCTCTGTCATCCCTCCGTTCTCTCTCTCTCTCTTTCTCTGTCATCCTTCTGTTCTCTCTCTCTCTTTCTCTCTGTCATCTCTCCATTCTCTCTCTTTCTCTCTGTCATCCCTCCGTTCTCTCTCTTTCTCTCTGTCATCCCTCCGTTCTCTCTCTCTCTCTCTTTCTCTCTGTCATCTCTCCATTCTCTCTCTTTCTCTCTGTCATCTCTCTGTTCTCTCTCTTTCTCTCTTTCTCTCTCTTTCTCTCTGTCATCCCTACGTTCTCTCTCTCTTTCTCTCAGTTTATTTCTCTCATGATCATCCCACTCATCCTTCCATCCCTCTTTCCTCCCCCTCTCTCTCTTTCTGTCTCTTTCTTTCCTTTCTCCTAAATTATACACATCTTCCCCTTATGCTTTATGATTCCCAATTCAGACTTTTTCTCCCTTTCTCTCTCCTGCTACCGCTACCTTTCATTCTTTATTCTTTCCTCATCCCCTCTCTCTCTCTCTCTCTCTATGCCATTCATTCCAGCATCCTTATCTATCTTTCTTTCCATCTCCATTACTCTCTAATCTGTTCCAGCCCCCCCCCCCTCCTTCTCTCTCTCTCTCTCTCTCTCTTCCTAACTCTCTATTTCTCTTTCAGCTCTTTAGTTTGTCGATCAATTCTTCAATCTCCACTTACTATTACACTATCTCTGTACTTTATCTTTTTTTTTTTCTCTCTCTCTCTATCTCTCTATCTCTCTTACTCACTCTCTTTCCATTCAAATCTCTGTCTCTTTCTTTCTTTAACTCTGCCAGCCTCCCCACTCACCCCCCCCCCCCTCCCCTTTTCTCTCTCCCTCTCTCAGGCAGTAAAGTATCTGCCTGTCGAACTAAAGAGCATTGTGTGTTTAAAGATATTGTGTCCCTTTTGCAGCCAACATCAATTTCTGTAGAACTTTGCAGGAATTATGAATATGTCATGTATGTCCTATCTGTGAAATTTAAAGGGATAGTTGAGTTCTGTTTTCAGACCGCAAATGTCTTCAAAGTGCATGGTTATTGCTCTTATTCTTATCTATGACATTTATAGTGCCCTTTTAAAAACTAAAATTGCTATGAAGGTAATTTTAGATGATTTTGTCATTTAAATATTATGTTCTTTCAAATTTGACACTCAGTTTTTCATTATCTCACAACAAAATTATTTTGTGTAGCGCCCTCTGCAACAGAACTCAACTATCCCTTTAAACGTAAGCAGTGTCCTAATATTCAAAGTTATGCAAGGAAACCTGTTTACTTGCTAGACTTCACTGTCAGACACTATTGAGTGACTAACTGGCTTTTTTCCTTCTTTTGTAATAACAAACATAAAATGAGCTGTAAAGGGTACTGTACATGAGCATTTGTCTACATCAATAACCCACTTCTTGTAATGGCCAAAATTAAACTGATTGAATCTTTGCGCAGCATCAAAAACATACGACCATTCAGTACAATGGTCTGAAAATCAGACTATTACTTACTGGCTCTATAGCTCTTAAGTCGATTTGACACTAAGAGTCGTTATTTTCAAGCGCCCCTTCTTTTAGGGAAGTTCTAATTTAGTATTATCTTTCAAATGCCGTTGGAAGTTAAAGGTAAAGACCAGTTTTGGAAAGGCCCCCTCTCAAACAATGAAATGGAAGCTCTTATTACCAATCATGTGAAAGAATATGTTTTGACTAATACATGATGCTAAAAATTTTGCCAGGAAACCGTCTACTAATTGATATATTTGGTAAATTGGTTTATCTACTGGGACCAAATAGATAATACGCATGTGTCACGCGCGTGTGCGTAGTCCCATATACATCTTTATGTGTACAGTGCTTGTAACTTTACGAAGACTGGGCCAAATTTCTTATCATTTTGATGATTCAGGAACCTTGCAGTACACACCAATACTTACATGCTAGATGATCAACTTTTTCTGATCGATTTAACAACATTTCTTTCACAATGCAATCACATGACCAGAACTGGTCTTTATCTTTAACCTTCTCATTTTTTGGGCCTGCAAATGGGACATAGTATCTTTAACTTGCCCCTCCACTGTTTCATAGATGCAGGCTATGTTAGGTGGAAAACACTCCATCCCTCGGATAGGACGTTAAATGGAGGCCCTGTATAGAGGAGAGTCACCACCTTTGTACGTTAAGAACCCAGGGCACTATTCGTACAAGAGAAGGGGGAAACCCCGGTGTAGTGGTCTACCTGCACACCCCCAATGAGTTATACCGGGATGAGAGGGGGTTACAGTGATTCAGTTTGATTTTCGCCTCCCAGGCACAGATGACACCAAATACTTAATAATACTTATTATAAAATGATAAAGCAGATCCTAATCAAATGATTGGTTAAGAGCGTACATGTGACCATGCATTAATATTTTTTTTTTTACTAATGACCGGTCATTAGTAATACTAATGAACGATGGTCAATCGTTTTATAAAACATCATTTTATAAAACAAATAAAATCCTTTTGTTCGGGCATTAGTAAAATACCCACACTCACACCTTTGAAAGAGTCCAAACACCCTATCGCCTTGGGCGTGTTAGACTGTTCCAAAGGTACCTTGTGTGCGTAATTCTTACTACCGGTAATGCTCTCTCTCAGGGGTGATAGTGAGCACTAAAAAAAAAATAGGTTTTTTTGTTTTCCCCTCAACCACAACCCCCTTGAGTAGAAAAAAGAGAAGAGGATTCGCGGGGAAAAAATGGCATATAACAACATTTCCCCCTTTCGAATAAGTAAAGAAGAAGAAAAAAGATCTGGTAAAAAATCAGGAGAAATAAAAAAAAATTGGGAAAACCGATTTAAATCAGGTTTTTATCAGGCCTGCTCTCTGCTGTGTTTTATTTGTATAATACAGGGATGTTAGTTAGAATTGATCAGAGGGCCTGAAAATAACTCGCCAGGGCCTGAAAATTGACATCCTTGAATTAATAATCTTTCTTTCTCTTTTACACCCACAGGCACACACACACACACACTGACTAGCACTATCCACCTACCCTTAATGATTCCCAACGCAGACTCTCCTGACAGATTGAAAGCATCTACAGCCTGGGCTATATTCAGAAGGCACTCCAGATGGCCCTGTAAGTGGTCTTGGCATGTTGAACAGATGCTCTGTATGGACTTGCCAGAGACTGAAGCAAGCTCCTCGTCACGCAGTCCAGTCATTAAGAAGTTAAGGACAGGGTCTGTAAGGATAACAAAATATAGGTTGAAATTAATACTGCAGCATTTATTATGCCCAATCGATCTAGTAAACTATTCTGAGGCGCAGAGGGAGATTAGGAGAGCAGCGCCTTGTAACCTTTGGAAAAGACGCTATACAAATCCAATTATTATTATTATTATTACCCTGGCTTTAGCACGGCTGCCATTACGGCGCTCTAACATTCCAAGGAATGAATTCCTGCCAGATACCCATTTCATACATGCCAACATTTGAAAATCAGAAATCCGTACAAATTATGCTATTTTCCAAAAAAAGAGGAATAATCCTAACTCTCCTATTCAATACTACAGACAAATTTGTACAGGAAGAGGAACACCTGCATTAAAATGATAATTATCTTCTCCCAAAAAGAGGAATGTTCCTCTTTAATCTGAACAGTTGGCATGTATGCCATTTACATCACTTCGGTTGAGTGTGGCAAATGTAGATCAATGTCTTGCCAAAGGACATACAGTAAGTGCTGTGACTGTGTACACGTGAAAATTCACTACACGGATAAACGAAAAAAGAAAGAAATCACCTGTTTTTCAGCATTATAAATTGCTGAAGTCAGTATTTCACAAAATTATCTGTCATCAGTCTGAAAATAAAGTTTAAATTCAAATGCTACATCATTAAATAATCATTTCTATACACTGCACAATTTCAATCCAATTGCCGTCGGGTCTCTTCTCTTGTCATCATGCAAACACATCAAATCAGCTCTCAATTAACATCAGATATAGGGGATCATGGGGGACCAACGGTCACCGCTTAGGCATTGTTTGCTATATATAGAGGGCCCAAGTAGCCATAAGTAGTGCAGTCCTGCTTTAAGAATTGATATGTGCTACCAAATTTTAACCCTATGGCACAGAAGAAAAGATAGCCCTGGGGGGGTGTTTCATAAAGCTGTTCGTAAAGTTACGCATGACTTTACGAACGACTTGTATATGAAAAGCCAAATGGGATGCTCAATCATTATTAACTGCATCAACTAAGTTGAACTGCAAATTAAGATTAACATTCTTATCATAACAAACATTTTTAATACAAAGTATAATACAAAGGATAATTAAATTGAGGTTATTGGAAATAGAGTCACACTTTGTTAAAACATCAGGAAAAAGTTTGGGCATCCTATCGGGCACTTCATTATACAAGTCATTCGTAAAGTCATGCGTAACTTTACAAACAGCTTTATGAAACACTGTCATGCTCACCTAGGTAATCTGGATGTTTCTCTATCCATTCAGCAAGCTCTCCTAGTATCCTGGTGCTCGTGTACCTGACCGCTCTGTGGGTTCCCTCTGGGAGACTGATGATGGCCTGCATCACCTGGGGGACCACTGTAGTTTCGTCTCTGTAAGATACAACAATTTTTGTTTTATTAAAGGCATTGTTTAACAATGTAAAATCTAAGATGCATGACCCTATGTGTTATTAGTGTCTGTGAAATATTGAAGCCTCATAAAAATAAAAATCTGTGAGTGACCAGTTTTACCATTCTCATTTTCCCAGATAGTCTGTAATGTTATGAAAACCGTTAAAGCTTTAGAGAGTTTTCAGAGAGCTGATACTCCTGTGATTTCTAATCATAAATATCTTGATAATCAGACAGGCAATCAACTTGTAAAGGTTATGGGATTCCTGACTGACCTCAAGGTTTATAATTATGATTGCAGCACAAGCTAAATCCAGGATTTTGTTTCAGAAGCTGAGACAACGTTACCCGATCCCTTTAACATACATCTTTCTGGGCTCGATATTACAAAGCGCCAAAGTGCATGGCTGCTAACCATTCCTGTCGTGGAGGACTTAATCCTATTTTTCACCTTCAAACTTAAAGTTACAAATGCTAGTCTCCTCTCTTATTTTTGAAATGTCTATATGAAAGTAAATAAAAACACATTGTATTCCTTATTTTGCCTTGATAAATACCTAATAGTCACTTTGCAAGGTTGACAAGTATGGAAAGTGTCACTTAAAACTTTAAATCAAAATTGCAACACAAAGATGACCAAAACAATTTGCATTTGTTATCAGGTTTGGCAACTTAAAAAATATTGTGATTCTCTTGTTTCAAGTAACTTCATGTACTTTGCTTTACAAAGTAGAATTTGGCAACCTATGCAAAGTCTAGGGAAGAGTTTGACAGGAAACCTGTATCGGATGTTAAGCAACAGGCCAGAAATAAATTATAATTGGTGATATCATAGCATACATTAGTCTGAATTATATACCTCATACATAGATTGTCATTCACTGATTGGTCAAAACTATATCACATGTCAAGGAGCATTTCTATCTATCAAGTATCATTACGTCAGAGGGTTTGATAGCTACTATCAAACCCCGGGATAGGACCCCTAACCCCTCCCGCGACTTAGTTGCGCACACAAATTTTTTTGAGTTGCTAGGCTACCGCAATCGCGCGGTTACGCGCAGCGCGTAGGAACTCACTACTCTTGCCTTGGACTTGATGTTGGATTTTTCTTATTTGGGTTAGTAAATTCCTCTTGATCTCGTTTCCTGTTTTTAAAGCTAGATCTAGACCTACAGCTAGACCTAATCATGAATCAATACAAAGGATGAGGTATATAAAACAAATATGGACTGCTCTGTAATCGGATGATGGTGGGAACTACCACTCCCTCGGTGGTGTTAACACCGGCTTTTCTATCTATCACCCTCTCGGCTTCGGTGATAGAAGGGCCGGTGTGAACACCACCTTGGGAGTGATAGTTCCCACCATCATCCTCATGAGCAGTCAATATTTGTATAATATTGTTAAAACGTGAGTCTTCTGAAGATAAGGATCCCTTAGAAGGGCAGGTTTGGGGCTCTGAAGCAACAAAAAAACATAGAAATAAAGCTCATCACCCTAACAAAGAGAATACTAATGTAAGCAAAGCTCATCAAGGGCCAACTTGTAGGTGTTGTGATCTGGTGAATAAACCACCCGATTGTAAATCAAAGGTACATGGTTTGTTTCCCCGCCACAGCAGTTATATCATTTGTCAATACATGCAAGGGAGATGGGATTCAGTTTCCATGAAAGTCATAACTTGCTGACATTAGACTTGGTGGAAATACCATTAATGGGTGTAACACAGCAAACTCATAGTCCCATCAAGAAATACCCCCTAGTCTCTTGGAGAGTCTCCAGGTTAGGGAAATGCAAGATAATGACTTTTCTATATGGGGTGATTGGTGGGAAAAATATGTAAGGCCTGATGGTCATAGAAATAATGGCTAATCCTGGTGATTGACAACATCCGTTGTTAGGTAACCACCCGAATGGTGTCAAATTCCCAATGAGAGTCCACTGGGATGTGTCTTTAATCTACATTTGCCACACTCCATAATGGACTCAACTCAATTGCATTAAGTAGGCCCTGGTAGGATTCATTCCTTGAATGCATTGGTCAGTACGGTTGGCAGAGCTAAAGCTAGGGTACAAATGTCTTCCTTTGGAAACACATAAAGCTGTTATTAACTTACGGCAGGACGTTCTTTGCGACAGAACTCATGATGAAGAGGGCAGCCTCTGTGACTTCCCATGATGCACCTTGCTGACTGGCGAGATTGTGAAACATCTGTAAGAAGAAAATCACAATTGATTGCCATGTTTCACTTCTTGGAATTATACTATTTGCTACATAATATAAGACTGTATACATCTATTGAAAGGAAAAGTACAGAAGTGAAATGAAAATATGCATGGTCTGGAATTCACTGGGAAATGGTATTGATCAGAATTGGGAATTCCAGGGGAGTCAACAATACATAAATTAATATGGGGTCTGTTTTACTTAGTTGTTATCCCAGCCCCACCCCCCCCCCCCTCCTAACACACACATACACAAATGATTTTTTTTTTCCCCAAAATATAGATATATATATATAAAAACAACAACATTATGAATAATAAGAGATTCATGATTTAAATTTGACTGTTTTAATAAGGGCACAAATTAATCACGTTCATTACGTCTTTATCAGGTGATTATCATTTAAAGCAAGTATCTTCTCTTCATCATCTTATGCCAAAACATGGACTTATCATTGGATGCATAGATGCATGGCCAGTTTTGAATTGCTAGTAAAATGGCCGAGATCATGGGAGGGGGCCTTAGAAGCTCCCCCCCCCCCCCCTCCCCACCCCCAAGGCTATGCAGTTTTGAAATAGCTCAGGCTAGATAGGGTTAAAGGTTACTTACAGTTTTGAATTGCTATCAAAGGTTACTTACTTGAGCAAAGCATGAGGAGGAACCAACGATGAAGATGACATCTTTGATAAGCTCCGACACTCTCACTCTGAAGTCACCAAAATCATCACTTTCATCCGGTATTCCTTCCTGCATGGTGATAAGACAATATCAACAGTAAATGCTATAATATAATATCAACAATATCAACAGTAAATTAATGAGTCTTTGTAAGAATGCAAGTGTCCACTACGACAAGTAAACGTAACCCCCCCCCCCCCCCCATCCTTTCATCCGGTATTCCTTCCTGTGTGGTGATAAGACAATATCAACAGTAAATGAACGAGTCTTTCTGACAGTGCATTAATTTACAATTGCCACTCTCAACCCTGGATTTAAGTGTATCAAGTGGGCCCCTGGTTGGATTCATTTATTCATTGGAGTTATCCACTTTCAAAATCAGAACTCAACTGAAGACATACCTATTTCAGATTGCTTACAATTAGTCACTGCTTTTTTGTCTTTTCCTGTTAGAATCATGAACAGGCATTTTTGGTAGTTTTTCAATATCGTCAGCGCCTTTACTTAGGCAACTAGATATTGGCGCTTTATAAATTCCTGGATTAGATTGGATTGGATTCCTTGAATGGACTGGCCGGTAAGGTTGCCAAACCTAAAGCTAGGGTATGAATGTATTCCTTTGGAAGCATATAAAGATATTATAAACTCATGGAAGTAAATGAATGAGTCCTTCTTAGAATGCAAGTATCCACCATGGCAAGTAACTCCACTATAATAATAATAATGATAATATGTCTTGTTTACCCAGGGTAGCCTCATCAGTATTCATACTGTTCTCCCTGAGGGCTCTGCAATCATATTATTACCCCGGTCATCGGATTCAGGCTTACCCGCACACAATGTATGCACATTTCCACTCCCAGGGGAGCATTCCAGCCAGGCGTCATTTTTACAAGCGCACACTTGCTAATCTAAGCACATTAGCTTACGCATCCTACCGGGTACCCATTTAACTCCCTGATTCAATTCACAATGACAGTGATCAGATAGTGGAGCCACAGTAGGCCTTAGTCATCACGATTTTCCTTCAAACCTGGGCAAGTTGCTGAAAACCGGTTGATTCCTGATGCCCTTATAAATATCTACATGTGGTTCAACTGTACTTATTATGTTTTGCATTGAATTTTGGCATACCTTAGATTTCGCTTGAGCAGGTCAGAAAGATGGATAAACTTTCACCTTTTTTTTTACAACAGGTGAAATTTTATGACACAGTTCATTTTTCAGTAAAAGCTATTATTATTCTTTTATTTGAGACTATCTATTGTTTTATTTTTTCTGAGTGTTTTCCTTCTCAAACATGTAGGTTATATGCCGTATTGCGATCATGATCATATATTTATGATAACAATCACAAACAGGAACATGTGACCCTACAATGTAAGAGATGATTATGTACTGTATGACTTTGTATGTTGATTTAGTCGTTCTCTTGGATCGTTATGTATGTGGATTTAGTTGTTTAATTAGACGATTTCCCTAACCCCAACCTTCCTACCTTTTGAATATTCAAAGAGCAGGATATGTGGCCCTACAATGTTAGAGAAGATAATTTACTTTTATATATGTGGATTCAGTTGTTCAATTAGATGGTTTTCCCTACCCAACCTTCCTACCTTTAGAAAAGTCATCTAACTTAATTTCTTTTCATTTCATTTACTGTTTTTCATTTTGTGATTCTCAGGGGCGGATCTAGCTTTTTGCTAAGGGGGGGGTTTGACCAAAATAATGACGATGCGGAGCATCGTCCACGAGCCGCAAAGCGGCGAGCCGATTTTTTGGGGGGTTTTATTTGAACCCCATAAGTGATGTTTTCCTGGCATCTATTAACACAATGGAGACCATAAAAAGCAGTGCATGATAACGTCTTTTTAAATCAAGTAACAGTTGAATACACAGTTATATCCAGAGTTATCATGTGTTTGGTTAAGTTACCAGATGAGTTGAATATCTTCTCACAATATTTGCACTTGAAAGGGTTTCTCTCCAGCGTGCGTTCTCTTTTCTTTCTTTTTTTCTTCTTTTTTGTCCCTTTTTTTTTTTTTGGCCGCCCAAGGGGGGGGGGGGGGGTTTAAACCCCCTAAACCCCCCCCCCCCCCCCCCCCCCCCCCCCCCCCCCCCCCCCGTAGATCCGCGCCTGATTCTGGGTGAGTCTATAAATTTACATCTATGTCTCTAGTTGCTGTTTTTTTCATATAATGTCATATTATTTAATATCCCTTTAATATATTTAATGTTTTGCCTCATTTCATTGTTATTTTTGGCTGACATTGTCATCCTGTATAAATATTTTTAAATAACATAATAAATAAACAACTTACGTGTTCTGTGTCTATTTGGCAATGCACGCTCAGTGAATGGATAAGCCTTTCAATGTAGGGTCGGTATAAGTCTGTGAGTTCCCTGCTGTCCCTCTTGTAGATGATTTCCGACAGTCGGTACCAGAAGTTGAAAGTGATCTCCGCCACCTCGCTCTGCGGATGGCCGACACAGGTCAGCACGGCATCCAGCGTTCTTAGATCCCCAAATGCCTGAAACAAAATAGAAGAATGCATGTGTATTAAAGCCTATCTGTACTAGTTTGGCCAGGAGGGATTAGACCACCCAGCGTGGTCACTGACAGGTGGTTATCTCTTCAAATCAGCTCTCAATTAACATAAGAAAAAGAAGATCATGGGTGACCAATGGGCACCAATTTTGCATTGTTTTCTATGCTCATGCATACCTGCCAACCTTTCACAGCAAACATTAGGAATTGCTCAGGGCAAATTTAAGAATACAGTCTATTTTGAATACTTTTCACACAGAATGTTTCAGAAAAAGAGAAGAAACTAGGGTTCAAAACAATAGCTTGAAAGCCAAAAAATAGAAATGGTTTTCAACTATGTTTATTGTAAGCTCAATTAACAAAGTGTCAACATTGCTTTTATGTTAAAAAGTGCTGGAACCTTTATATTTATCATGTTAATGTCAAATCTATTTTTGTATTTTCTTTTCAAAACTGGTGTTATAATCACATTTCTAAGCATTTGAAATATAAAACAACTGAATATCAATTGTTAGGAAGGAAGGAATTTATTCCTTGAAATGCTAGAGCGCTATAATGGCAGCACAGCTAAAAAGCCGGAGTAATAATATCCAAGTTTGGAAGCGCTTAGAGACTTATTGTGATTTGCGCTATATAAAAGCTGAATATTATTATTTTATTATTATTGTTTAAAAATTAACTGGTTTAAAGCAGTATAAGCAATACAATCTTCATATAAAGTGGCAACACATCCACAGAAGGATATATTCCAAGTATGTTTTCTCATAAATATCGGGAAATTTTGTTCATTTTAAACATTATCAACATTTGTGTACTCTCACTTATGAAAGAATAATTTTAAGGAATGTTGAACAGGTAGCACTGAAAGGGCAAGATCTGTTTTTTGCCAATTTGAAGACAAAATAGTGATTTATCTTAAAAGTAATAAGAAGAACCTGTGTTCTGTTTCATAAAACTTCTTATCAATGACAAGTTACATAATAAGCTACTGAAATTGAGGCATTTGATTGGATGATAACAATTTTTTCATAGAAATCAAGCATTTGTTATTGATATCAAGTTTTATCAAATGGGTTCAAGAATGTAGCCAATGAGAATCATCAAAATGGATCATGTGTGCGTGCATTAACTTTTACCATATGCCCAAGGGAAGTGCATTTTGGTGATAACAACCGTGCAAAAACGGTGCAAAAACGGTGCAATAAAAGGCATAATGCACGCTGCATGTACTTCAATGGATGTTTATGAGAAGTTGCACCATGCAATGCACAGCTTGTTTACAAGGCCACTGCTGCCGCGATCGTCTGAGACATCTTATGGCCTTACTAAGTAAGATTGTTGACCCATTTTATAAAACAAATAACACACAGGTTTTTGTTCATGACGTTATGGCAATGTAGTGCTATTTGGGTATTCACAATGGCACAAAATACATTCGCTACGCCACATGAATTTTATTGCACCATAGTGAATACCCTCATGTGCTGCATCGACCATAACGCACTCACACCTGTGTATTATTTGTATATTATGAAACATGGCCCTGGGCTTTTTACCTGGTTTGGCGTCTCCACCATCATTTCCATGAAAGCTTCTGCTAGCTCAGTGAATATCCGACAATAATTGATACATCTGCAGATCAAACACAAAAAGAAAAATGTACATATACTATTGGACCAAATACAAAGAAGTACATACAGTAAGCATTCATCCACCATCAGTTCATTTACCAAGAATTCACATGCAAATTTTACCCCATTATGGGCAAGATTTGTAAAGTTTATTTGACTTCGACCCTGGGCATGCCAAACACTAAAGAGTACCGAAGCTGTGACATCATACAAATCTATTTTTAGAATTCAAAAAAGAGCATTAAAAATAATGTCTGAATGTCAAAAAACCAATGGAATATGTTAAGTATTGGCTGAGATATGACCATCTGAATAAATAGATGTCCTATTGGAACTCAGTGTTATATTGCTCTCACTTGTAATGTTGTGAACCAGAGCAATATAACTAAAAGTTAGTCTATACCTGCCTGTAACATTAAAACCAAGGGCAACCCTAAACATAACCCTGTAATAATTTACCAAATAAAGCCCTAGCAAATGTCAGATCACCACTAAGTTGTTTGGTAATATTTTGCCACATCTATAAGTGAAGGTTGCAACTTGAGTTTGTTGTTGAGTGCTGTGTTTTTAAATTGTTTTTAAGAAGCGAACTCAAAATTATCTTCATCAAGAAATAGCTGATCTTCAATTTGGCCCAAAATGATGATTTTCCATTGAAAAGTCAATTACACCTTTCTGGAATAAATTCATTGAATCAATGGTCAATAGGGAGGGAGGGGGGGGGGGGGTGAATCAATAGTTATGAAATTTTGCCAATTTAAAGATTCTAACCCATGTCTTACATGTACCTATAAAATTAATTCTGTGCCTGAAATTTTGACCATGATTTCAACTTAAATAAATAGGCACAAGATGGGTGAAAATACATAGATTTGATCTTTCTGCTCTTGCTAAACAAAACTATTTCTTTTGACTACTGGTACACCAACTGCTTTCAGTCTTCTCCGAATGACTTCGTATGAGGATCAATGTCTTACCAAAGGCACCAGCGCACCGACTTGGTTTCGAACCCGGGACCTCCTGGCTAAGAGACCACTGCTCTACCACTGCGTCATCACGCCTGCCTCAAAAATTATAATTGTCTTTGCCTTTTAGGTAGAATTCCGTAGCAGCGAACATAGTGGAATTACTACGCTAAAGTGAGCAGACGATATTTCTAATTCAATTCGCAGATGTTAATACTGATCAGTGCCAAAAACTGAAAATCATAATTTCAGGAGGATAAGGATGGTGATCGTAAGGGCGGGAGTTGGGATGTATCTTTGGGAGCCATCCGATGAAATTGGGCGGGTTGGCATCTCTGTAATGTCCTAAAATATAGACTACCTACTTGTCAACATCTTCCTCTGCAACGGCCATTGTGTATGCCTCTGGAAGGAGATTAATGCCTTGATAGAGAACCTTGGCTAGCGGCAGATGCTCCTCTACGTCCTCCATACTGTAGAGGGCAGCACACAGGCAGTCGCTCGTAGCCTCGTGGAGCATGGACGGCGTGTCCGACTTTTTCTGAAAAAATTATAAAATTATTGCAATATATTTAGTCATCATTTAAAGCCCGTCTGTACTAGTTTGGCCAGGAGCGATTAGACAACTCTGCATAGTCACTGACAGGTGGTTATCTCCTCAACTCAGCTCTCAATTAACGTAAGAAAAATAGGATTATGGGGTACCAACGGGCACCACTTAGGCATTGTTTTCTATATAGAGGGAGCAAGGAGCTACAAGGAATGCAGTGGGGCTTTAAATTCTTTAGCAGAACACTTAACCCTTACTGTACTGGGGGGGGGGGCCTGGGAGGCCCCCCCCCTCGACATTTTCGGAGATCGCGCCGCAACCGCTTGGAATTTTGAATTGTCGTTTCATGACTTTTTTCCCTCAAGTCTTGCGCACATTTTGATACCATTTTCGTAAAAATTGGATATACCTGTAAGGTGTTACATAACAATTAGTAACAAAAAAGTGCTATAATTGCATATATTCATGTACAAGCAGAAATGTGAAGATATGAATTGATATCAAATTGCTTTTATATGTTTCTCAGAGTAACTTGATGTATTCCAGAACAAAAGAATACCTTAGATATAAAACAATAGATATAATAAGAAATAAAAAAACAATAAAATACATAAGAAAATAGATAATTGAAAATCGCATCAAATTTGCGTAAATTATCATTATTAATTACATCAAATAACTATTTTGTGTTAGAAAAGAAGTTTCATATGAATAATGAGTTTCAACATTCAAAAAGTGGAGTCTGAAAATTTTTGTAATGATTCTAGTTCCCTAAATATAGTTCCCGATTGGATATTCATGAATGCGTAATTTGCGTATTCATAATTTATGCAAATTAACCCAAGCATTTTCAAATATCATTAAAATAATGAAACCTCATGAATTTGAGATGAAGGAAACATTTATTCAATACATTTTCAAGATTCTTCACAAGTCTACGGACAAATACAGGTGTATGTAGAGTTTTCTGTAAAATGCATAAAATTAGCATTTTGCATAATTAATTAGGCTATAACGAAAAAACTAATTATACCATCTTGTTCCTTACGGAAATATCTACAAATATGCAAATTTTCGTGTTCATCGGACATTCGGCGGCCGAGATCATAGGGGGGGGCCTCCCAGGCCCCCCCCCCAGTCAGAGGGTGCTCAAAATAGCCCAGTACAGTAAGGGTTAAAGGGGCCAGATGAAAAGATGTTTTCATCGTTAGGTAGGCCATGTAAGTTCTAGTACGGGGATGTTTCTATCAATGAATTATCATTCCTCATAACGTTTAGGAGTCTGGCCTTTCTACATTAAATTGTAAAGTAAGGACAAATTCAACTACAGAACAATTAGCTGAAGTGCCTTACTTCCTGTATAATGTGTTTAATCCCAACACAATAGCCCATTGTGGTGAGATGTATGCCTTACCAGCTATCTGAAGCTCAGAAACAAATTGAAAGTGTGTACAAAATTCCAACATTAGATTAAAGGCATTGTTTAACAATGTTAAATCTGAGATGCACGGCCCTACATGTTATCACTGTCTGTGATATGGTGTCATATTGAAGCCCTGATCATGAAGTGCCTCAAAAAAGTAAAAAATCTTTTAGTGACCGATTTTATCATACTCATTTTTCCCGATAGACTGTAGTGTTATAAAAACCGTTAGGAAAACGAATTGTGAAATTTTGATTTCCAATCATAAATATCTTGATAATCAGACAGGCGATCGGCTTGTAAAAGTCATGAGGTTCCTGACTGACCTAAATGTTTATACTTATCATTGCAGCATGAGCTAAATCGAGGATTTTGTTCCAGAATCTGAGACAAAGTTACTTAATCCATGTAAGTTCTAAATGAGACATAATCTAAAGTCATGTAATTAGTTACCGGTACTTTCACTCCAAGCAAAATAAATAACAAGATAGTTAGCTCATTCTCAAAATTAAAAATAAATAAATAAAATACTTTCGCGTTTGTCCTACCAGAAGCTCGAAGAGGAGTACTATAATCTTGCTCTGTGACATCTCCTCGCTTGGACACACCCGGATGTAGAACCAGCTCGCCAGGCACTTGAAGATCTTCCCAAGTAACCTCTGGTCGTTCAGGTAGTTCTCTGAGCAAGCGGTCTGTCATGTAAGAAGATACAAAAGAGTTTAATAGGAAAAGCATGGTACAGTGACACCTGTCTATAAAGACCACCCACAAGGAAGACAAGAAAAGTGGTCTTTAAAGGCAGGTGGTCTTTGTGCACAGGTTCCTTTAGTATATGTTTCAATGAGATACCATTTTTAAGGGGATCAAAAAATGTGTGGTGTTTCTATACATGTGGTTGTTAATTCAGCAGGTTTGACTGTATTTGGTCGTTTGGCATTCCATACATCACCAAGGATTTCAGAGTTAAAGTATGAAAATGATTGACATCAAATATTCCTTTTACATTTACATTTTGTCTGGTTGGAGCCACAAGGACCACCAGTTCATGTTCCGCCGCAGCACTAATGTCCTTTGGCAAGACATTGATCTACATTTGCCACTCTCCACCCAGATGTGAAATGGGTACCCGGTAGAATGCAAAAGCTAATGTGCTTAGAATAGCAAGTGTGCACTTGTGAAAAATGACGCCTGGCTGGAATGTTCCCCAGGGAGAAGGGAATGTGCAAACATTGTGTGCGGGTAAGTCTGAATCTGGTGACTGGGGTAATAATATATATCTGTAAAGCGCTTTGAGAGGGCCTGCGGTCCTGAAAAGCGCTATTTAAGAACGAGCTATTATCAAACCGGAAAAGATCTTCCATGAAATCTTACCAGCAGGTTAATGACGGTGGGGGCAGCCTCGCCCAGCTCTACCCTGAACTCTTCTCTCCTGTTGAGACCCAGCCTGAGGGAGTGACTGTCCACTTCTTCTGGTAGGACCGTCAGAAGCTCGATGAGTAAGGGCATGTGTGTTGCATTGGAGCTGTAAAACCTGCAGAGATGTAGAAATATAGAGATGGATTAGCGTACAAGTTCTTGAAGCTTAAAGGTATAGACCAGTTTTGGAAACGCCCCCCCCCCCTCTCAAAAAATGAAATGGAAGCTCTTATTGCCAATCATGTGAAAGAATATATTTTGACTAATACGTGATGATACAAATTTCGCCGGGAAACCGCCTACTAATTGATATATTTGGTAAATTATCGATTCGGTGCACTTCAACATTGAACATTTGGGCATATATTTCTGTTTTTTTTTGCAAATTTAGGTTGAAGTATTGCCATCTAAACCTCTGAAGGGATATTGAATGGATATTTTACACCCAAAACCCTTGAACCGCAATTTTAACACTACCGGTCTATATCTTTAAACCTTGATATGGTTATCCCTTTCACCAGTTCTTGGAAGCTATCCGATATGGTGAGATGATGTGAGATGATGTGCATCAGTGTGAGGTGTAAATCTGGGTGTAAATTGGAACGGTATCAGATATATGCTAGAGTGCTACATCGTTGACTGTGTGGCTGTTACCAGGGTAATAAAGTTAGAGTGCCAGGAGCATCACAACCACATCACCAGAAGCCACAATTACAATTATTTTAAACCTTGGGATTAACTTTAGAATACCCAAATACATGAATGTCCAATGCCTATGTTAGAGTTAGGGTTAGGATTAAGGCAAGGATTAGGGTTAGGGTCAGCTAAAAAACTTAAGTCTTTAGATTTAGCTTCATTGGTATAGCGTTGGTTTAACCTACATACAAGTTATCAGCTTTGGTGGTGGTGGAGTATTATAAGGCTGCTCCGAAAATTGCAAAACTAGATCGCTTGTGATGAACATTTCTGGTCTTACACCTACCACCATTGGCTACCAACATCCTCTAAGAGGACCTAAAGCCGTCGGTCATCTGGTTGCTTTAATACAAGCATTTATGCTTTCTAAGCAGTCAGGTACCTCAGGCGGTAGAGCAGTGGTCTCGTAATGCGGTGACCCGGTTTTCGAAACCAAGGCGATGTGCCCTCTAGGTAAGGCATTATTCCTCATTACCAGGTCCCTCGGAGAGGACCTAAAGCCGTCGGCTGTCTGGTTGCTAACTTACAAGCATTTATGCTTTCTTAGTTTCTTAGCAGTCACGTAAAATAACCACCACCACCGATATTCAAGATATAATAACCAACCACCACCACTAAACATAATTTTTCACTTTTCTTAACGGATAACCGATTTTCTTATAAAACTGAAGATATGGCGTATATATCAATACTGAATGAACGCCATTAAACTATAACCAACAACAACTAAACATCATAATACGTACCTGTGAATGAGAAACGAGGCCGAGTTCTTCCACTGCGTCATCTGCAGGGCCAGGTCAGCCAGGGCGAGACAGAGCTGCGTGGTGATCACATGGAACTTTGGATCGCTCATCGTCTGCATGTGATTGATCAGGGAGTCCCTCAGCATCTCGTGGGATTGCCCAGGGAGCTCGTGAAAAGAATATTGGATCTGGAGTGGAGATGCAACAATTTAGGAAATTTTAGATTTATTTTGGGAAAGAAACGGTGTGGAATCAATCAGAAAAGGTTGATCATCTAGCATATAAGTATTGGTGTGAACTGCAAGGTTCTGGAATCATCAAGATTATAAGAAAATTGGATCTGGAGTGGAGATGAAATGATTTTGCAAATTTTTGTTTTGTTTATTTATGATGATAAAAGGGTTTTATACTTGTTAACTCCATAATCAAATATTAATTTTCTCTCTGGTTGTGTATGCTTGATCAAGGAAAAAGACCTCCCGGTCATATGTGCAGGGATGCCAGTCAGTTTTACCTACTGGGCCTGAAAGAAGCCAGAACACGTTAAAGCCCCAGATATGCTGTACAATATAAAGCCTGAAAAAGCCTGTAATGGAAAGTTGTCAGGGCCTGAAATCAAGCAAAAGCCTGAAGACTGGCATCTCTGTAGGTGATTTCGTTTTGGTAAGCCAGTGTATGTTATTGTTTCTTTAAATGGTTTTAGGCTTTTTTGTTTTTGTTATCCTACAGTTCTACTACATGACTATATGGGATGTCCAAGAAGTTACATGTATGACAACTTTCGAGAAACAGACTCCCTGTTGTGTTCACATTTGTGACAAATCATTAAATATCAAAGGTGATCAAAAGTGCTCCATATAATCTTACAGTGTGAACAGTGTCTTAGAACTTACTTAAGTTCTACTTCATGTTTCTATGGGATGTCCAAGAAGTTAGACTTACATGTAGGACAATTATAGAGAAACAGACCACCCTGTTGTGTTCACAATCGTGACAATTCATTACCGGTAAATATCAAAAGTGATCACAAGTGCTGAATATTATCTTACAGTGTGAACAGTGTCTTAGAACTTACCTTGGTTCTCATTGTCTGTGCAGCAAAGTAACAAGTTTCTACATCCCTCTTCATCTGGAGTAACTGGTCTGAAATCTCCCAAGAAAACAACTGAAAATACAGAAGAAAAGTATAATTGCTCCTTGAAATCAATCAATGCAGAATAAAAGTGTACTGACATACCTGGCTGAAACTGTGAAAGAAAAGATTGAAATGAATCGTCAAAGCCTGCAGCCTCATCCACACCCTAGCCCTATCGCTAAATTGGGAAAGAAGAAAAATAGTCGTCTTTTAATTTATACGATAGTCAACTCACTTAGTATTTAAGAACATGAAATTTCAGAGGTTTCAAGTACGTTAGCCTCTCTGCCTCTCTCCCTCTCCCTCTCCCCTTTCAAAGCCAAAATTGTGCACTATTGCCAGTAATTTTTAAGAATATCCTGTAATAAAAACAGCAGGGTCGCATATTTTAATAGAGAAAAAAATACACAGGGGCTCGGGGCGAATTAGCCCCCGAAATGACCAAAGGAGCCCCCAAAATTCTTAAAGAGCCCCCAAATTTTGCATAGAGTTCAATGCAAAACAAATTAAAGAGTGTTTTTCATGCAAGCAAGCTTGAAAAGTAGCCCACCAAAATTGTTAAAGTGATTTTTTCTCTGTATTTGAAGATACAGAAGATCTACTCATTTGATAAATTTACATCATTGGATATTTAAACAAGTTGTCTACCGGTAAATATCGACAACACTACATTTTCTCCCTCTTACTCTCAGTCATATTGACAGTAAAGTGTGAGCCAAATACTGAGTGGCCCATTCTGACCGGAAGTTTATGTGACTGCAAAATCCAGGAAAATTTGCTAATAAAAACTAGAGCGCCACTTACGTTGGCTTTATGTGGTAGGGAGGATTGCAGCATCACAAACCGATAGCTGAAGTTTCATTCAAATTATTAAAGGGATATTTTAACAATGTTAAATCTGAGATACACGGCCCTACATGTACGTGTTAGCAATGTCTGTGATATGGTGTAATATTGAAGCCCTAAAAAAATTGCGCTTCAAAATGATCAAGAAATGCCTCAAAAAAGTAAAAATCTTTGAGTGACCGGTTTTACCATACTCTTTTTTCCCAATAGACTGTAGTGTTATGAAAACCGTTTGGCAAACAGCTTTCAAAAGTTGTAATTCCAATCATAAATATCTTGATAATCAGACAGGTGATCGGCTTGTAAAAGTCATGGGGTTCCTGACTGACCTAAAGGTTTATAATTATCATTGCAAATTGAGTTAAATCTAGAATTTTGTTTCAGAATCTGAGACAAAGTTACTGGATTTAAAAGTTGTTATCTTTCTTACTTACTTACTTTACTTTACAAGGGGACACAGGCTCAAAATAAGGAAGCCCCGCTGCAAATCTAAGATGAGGCAGATGTCATTTTCAGTGCGGAGCATTAATAATTGGAATAACCTTCCTGAAATTGCCATAAATGCCTCATCAATCAATAAATTCAAGTCAGAACTTGAAAATCATTGGAAGCACCATCCGCTGAAATACCACCCATACCAACGCGAATCCAATGCAGTAAAGAGGGGCACATAAGCTGAAGCTTCAAGCCTGGACACCAAAGTAAACCAAAGTAAGTAAGGATCGTCCGCATTTTCGCAGACATTTCATATTTCCGATTCGCGTGTTGGCGTGTTGTGAAAATCAGATTCGTCAATAATTTTTGTGATGCATTTTAGTTTTACATGCATGGACTTTGTACAGAGACTTTCACGTTATGAGCGATAAATCCTCGGGAAGACGGACAACCCATAAAGTAGATGGTGAACTTGGGCCACCAGTGGGGTATTTTCTTACGTGGAATCTCCGTTTTTTCGCATCGCCAGAGCATAGTTCAGGAACCCGAAACCCACAGAAATAGGCGCAGATGAAAAAAAATGTTAGGGCCTACCAACCATGCCGCAAATGCGAACGATCCTTATTTTTCAAGACACAAATTGTCTACATTGACGAGGATATCCTCGAACTTTTATATGTGGATGATCATGAGTCTCATTCTCACTTCTCACTGTGCTTCTTCTCATGACCAGCGGCGCAGCGCTTCTGTTTTTTTAAATTTTTATCTCATATTTAAAATAGGCAGTGAGGAAATATCATGTAAATCTTAATCTAGACCTGTAAAAATAATCTGACTTGATACTTGCTCATTCTGTCATTGACATTGCACGACAGTCACAGTCAATCTTCATTCATGTTCTTTCAATCAATCAATCATGCATCAACTGTCACTCAATGAAATGAGAAATTACCGATCTCTGAAATTCTTGCAACCACATCGAAGCTCTCTCTTTTTCTGCAGCATCAGGATTGTGGTATAATGCATGAATGGCTGCGGCCACTGTGTCAACTGGCGGTGCAGAATCCATATTTTGTAATGTTTATTTCATTGGTAATTGGGGGAAAAAAGTAAGTTCGCTGCTAATTTCTATCGTCTCAGATCACACACAGCTTAGCCGACTACTTTTTTAGCTTCAGCCTTCTCATGCATATATGCACACTACTGCACTGCAGTGTATACAGATTGAATAGCGACCTGCGAAGAGTTCGGATATCTTTGATGCATACGTTATGCACGTACGTACAGGTACAGTCCTTCCACTCTCGGAAACCAGAGTTTCGTATAGATATTACCGTAGCCCAAAATGCTAGCATACCTATACAACTCGTCCAAGACAAAATATGCCGATATTAATTCGGTATAGACTCGTTTGGTTTGTCGATGGTGGATATTTATGACAATCGAAATACATTTGAAGGAGAATACAAATTTTAATTGAAATCATTTCTTTATATAACATATCTATTGTCCCGAAAAATAAAACGGACAAAAATATATAATAGGCCTACAATACATTAATCCACATGTAGACTATTAAATACTAGTTTCCACATTTCCAAGACCCTAAGGATTGTTCAAGTTGACGTGGATTTATAGGCCAAATAAAAAAAGTTGAGTCACGTAGGGCTGCAGACAGGGGCGTACGCAGGGGGGTGTTTTGGGGGTTCAAACCCCCTCCCCCTTTGGTATTTTAATGTATGTAAACCCCCCTAAAAAAACCTAAAACCCCCCCCTTTGGCTTTTTTTTTTTTTATTTTTATTTAAAAAAAAAAAAAAAAAAAAAAAAAAATTATACCCACGGCTAACCTAAATAAGGTGACCTTACCCCCCCCCCCCATACGTAAAAAAATGTCAAATTTTGAAATTTTGAGACAAAAAAAAAAAAAAAAAGTGTCCGCTTACCCCCCCCCCCCCACTGAGCGACTTTTCTGCCGGCTGAGTCGTTGCGATTTTTTTTGGCCTCCAAAAAAAAAAAAAAAAAGTGTCCGCTTACCCCCCCCCCCACTGAGCGACTTTTCGGCCGGCGCGATTTTCAAATTTTCGGGAGCAAAATATTTTAAAACCCCCCCCCCTTGAAAAAAATGTCAAATTTTGAAATTTTGAGACCAAAAAAAAAAAAAAAAGTGTCCGCTTACCCCCCCCCCCCCCCCCCCCCCCCCCACTGAGCGACTTTTCTGCCGGCTGAGTCGTTGCGATTTTTTTTGGCCTCCAAAAAAAAAAAAAAAAAAGTGTCCGCTTACCCCCCCCCCCCCCCCCCCCCCCCCCCCACTGAGCGACTTTTCGGCCGGCGCGATTTTCAAATTTTCGGGAGCAAAATATTTTAAAACCCCCCCCTTGAAAAAATCCTGCGTACGCCCCTGGCTGCAGAGAACATCACGAATTTATGTTGGGGCAAAGAAATAGTGTGCGGATTCATGTAGAAATAAACTTTCTCGAATGTATAGATTTTATGTAATTTCTATTGTATTTTGATGACTAAATAACATTTTTCTTGGCTCGTATCTCTTGTTCGAAATTTCAGAAACAGGATGCTAACGAACGAATCTAACTGTGGCCGATTTGTACAAGTTCTGCATGAAAAGAAAAGTGTCGCGCGCACAAATACATGCGTAGGTAGTATTATTTTCCGTTCATCCCAGAATAAGGATAAAGGATAAACTCCTCGCTTTATTTATTCATCATGTGGCGACGTTCCTCTTGAACCCCCCCCCCCCCCCAAAAAAAAAAATAATAATAAAAATAAATAAATAAATAAATAAAATAAAAATATTCAAACCGGCTATTATTCTTTTTTCATGAATTCAAATTCAAATTTAAAAGGGGTGAATATGGGGCTCTTTTTGGGGTTAAATTAGGGTAAAAATTAGTGTCAAAATAAAAGGGGCACTTAATCGGAGGTGAAAATGGGAAAGGGCACGTGTTCAAAAAAAAATAGGGGCATTAATTCAAAGTAAAAGGGGCACTTCTTTACTAATTAAAAGGGGCACTGTTCCTATATGCAAAAGGGGGCACTTTGGGGGTACTTGAAAAGTGGGTGGGGGACAATTGTGCCCCCTTCCCCCGGGAGCGCAGCCTCTGATCGAGGTGAATGAGCTAGATTGCTCGAATAAATTATTGGAAATCATCGGGTGAGCTCCTTCCCTCCCTTCCCTGACTCGCATACGTCTATGATTGCATCAAAGCACGCAGTGGAGTTATGTCTTCAACCGGGGCGCAATTTTAACGGGTGATCTCTTTGTAGCAAATTTAGCAATTTATATAGGTACAGAAATTAAGCTATATATGAATGTGTGAATTCTTTCAAATGCCGAACCTTCCCAAATTTATATTTTGCATGACATGTACTATAGAAAGCATAAAAAGTAAAGCAGCAAGAATACCAATTTTATAACATTTTCTCCTAAATAAGCTGTAATTTATATTTGTTTTTAAAAAAAAGTTTAATAAATCCAAAATGTGTATTTTTTATTTATTAGATGGGATATAAATGCATGTTATCAAATTATTCTCGAATTCCCATTCGTCTTCTGCCCTATAGTTTCGTGAACAAGTAGACCCCGGCCTCGTGTACATGTAAAACCAGCGAGATTTGGGCGACGGTCGCTGTTTTGAGGGGGACAAATTCGACTGACCCACCCAATGCAACATTTTTGTTAGGCCTTTACGTGCCGAAAGTTTGTTGACCTTACTTTGATAATGACGATTTATTTAATAGACGCACGTGTGCAACATGCGACGCGCGCCCTTACTAGCATCCTCAATCGGATAAAACTTATATAGGAATGACAAAAAACCTTAATTAGGAATTTAAAGTAATATGAATTAAATAAAAATAATTTAAACAGCAAAAAATATTATTTTATTAATTTTTTTAATGACAAAATAGTGTGTTCTCTACTAATTTATATTCTATAACGCAGCTTCTGAAACTCGTCCTTTCTTAGTTGTATAGCTCTGTGGCAAGATGAGGTATATTTTCTCTCAAGAATAATACGATTAACATCCAGTTAAATCCTAAAAGATTCAAGAGAAGATTACTTTTTTAATCAATTAATAACATCTTAATAACATCAATTTTAATTCCAAATGATTTTTATCACATATAGCACCAATTTTGAGAAGAAGTTAACGGTATTTATTTGTCCATGTATAACCGGTACCGTACAGCTACGTGGATTGTGAATTGTGTACTGTGTACTGTGTGGAGGCGAGTGAGGCGAGTGGATAATTTCCTGCCGGTAGTGTTGATAATTAAAACTGAATAGAGCGGTCATTCCTGAATTCCCCCGAGTTGCAACTAGTGGGTAGAGGTCATATTATGTGCAGCTGTCGGGCAGCTTTATTTTTAGTAAGATTTAAAACCAATCCTCAACTTGAGTTGGGACTAAATTTTCAAGGGCAATGCCTCATTTTATTTTTAATTCTTGGGTGTGTTTGTGCAGATCATTTTGTGTAATTTATTTTTTCTTGTATCTGACCTGGTTGGCAATAGGGGTGGTGGTCCGTGAATAAGGATCGTCCACATATACCCCCGTGAAAATGAGGATAGTCTGCATTCTCGCAGACACGATCTGCGGTTTGGCGATGCAAGAAACGGATTCTGCGATGATTGTCTTGGTGCATTTTACATTGACTTAATTTGTTCCCGGCCCCCCCACTCAGAGTAGGGTGTCTGATCGCGCACCCGATGTTGTGTGCTAAAATTCTTCCCATAGAGATTACACGCATCCCTATGCAGCCTACGTGCATTGCGCGACCATGCAAAAAAAGTCAATTTTTTTTTTTCAAATCGAGATTCAAACCTTTATCAGTTGTGATCCTGAAGGTGATAATCAATGAATGAGGTGTCATATGAAAGAGCAGGTGAATTCCAATATTTCCAAAGGGGCGTAGCCCCCGAAATTCTAAAAATATCTTGGTCAAAACAGCAATTTAAACATTGTGTCCTGGCTAACTCTGAGGTTTGTCACTTTTGAGATATGACGCCCCGATCGATAAGTAGTCCCAGTCCTAAGGAACAATTCTATGTGATTATATTTTCGCTAGCCCCCAGGGATCACAACTGATAACAGTTTAAAAATACCTTTCTCGCTATTTGGTGGATCAGCTAATTAGGAGGCGTGCGCTCCGCTCAGTCCAAACCATGGTTACATCGCGTAACATCTCCGCGCACGAACGAAACCCCAAATTATAGTGACTGAAATTATGGTTGGCAATTCCCTCGATAAACCCGGAAGTGAATACACGTTATAGTCAATGGCAATATCGCGGAGACAACGTGCGTTGTCTCCGCGATATTGCCATTGACTATAACGTGCATTCACTTCCGGGTTTATTGTGCGACGAACGCCAACCATACTAGTCAATCGCACATGTCGCGGAGACAGCGTAGCTCAAGCTGCAAGTCGCGGATTGGCTTAGCAGCATGCGTACGATATGCATACGCTTGCATATCGCGCGATACAGCTGTTTGGCTAAATTTAGCAAAACAACATCACTCTGCGTGGACGTCTTTTTCGTCGATTTTGACCAAAATGATATGAATATACCAGCGTGTTGGAGGGGCTGTAACTTTTGATAGAAACATCGGTGAGACTTGAAATTTGAAATGTATTATTCTGATAACATTTTTTATTCAAATATCAAACAAAAATGGTGAAAAACGATCCCAAATTGAAAATTGAAAAATCGTTCAGACACCCTACTCAGAGGTCGGAATGACCGCATGCGTGTTGCCAAAATGTCCGGTAAAGGGGTACTTTTCGTGAGACAAAGTCCGGCCCGAGAATTGTAAGAAAAGGGGTGTATTTGACTTTTCACCCGGAGATTTCTTTAAAAAGGGGGTGTTTTTCTTTTTTTCTCTCATCTTTTTGGACTCCTGAGAAATTATTCCGAATTTAGGGGGGTACATTGAGCATTTTTTCTGATTTAGGGGGTCTCCAATGCAAAAAAAGCCCGCGAAAAGCCCGCGAAAGGGGGGTTCGGAAATGTTGGCAGTCCGCAGATAGGGGGTGCTTTCAAAAAGAGGGTACAAGCATATGCGTACCCTAAATAACACTGAGTGGGGGGGCCGGGAATTTGTTCAGACAAATCAGAGACTTTCACGTAGGAGCGATAAATTCTCGGGAAGACGGACACCCATAATCAAAACGTAGACAGTGAACTGTTGTTATTTTCTTACGAGGAATCTGTTTTTTGCCTCGCCAAAACGTCCGCTGACGATCCTTATCTTTGAGGCTCAATTTTGAGTGCTAAAATCCTTCCCATAGAGTCTGCACGAATCCCTATACAGTCAATGTGCATTGCGCGATCATGCAAAATTGGTCTGTAATGCTTTTATTACCAAATCAAGATTCAAACCTTATTGCTTGTGATCCTGAAGTTGGTTCAAGATTTCTGTACACGCGCGAAGCGCCATCTAGTGCCGCATGATACTTGGTGGGCATGGCTGTACGGAGATGTTATGACTTATGCAGGATGCTAAATTTTAGATTGCTCATATCATAATCGGGTCACTGGCACAGAGAACGTGCAAGTGTACACGTGGAACTGATTATCACAGTTAAATTTAGCATCCTGCTGAAGTTTCTAAACAAAAGACTGCACCTCATGTTACATAAACTCCATATTTTTGTCTTTGACATGCATCTGAAATTGAGGGGCTAATGAAAGGCATTCTTTTCCCTCTCCTATAATTGCAGTAAGGTGTCGAGAGATTTGCTGTACGAGGCCGTCAAGGAGGTCCAGAATGGCTCCAAGGAGAAGAAGAGGAAGTTTCTGGAGACGATCGAGCTTCAGGTCAACCTCAAGAACTACGACCCCCAGAAGGATAAGCGTTTCTCCGGAACCGTCAAGTAGGCCAGCCCAGCGGCTTTTCCCCATTTTTAACCTAGCTTGGTCTCGCTAGGTAGTTGGTGTGAAGGCATAGTGTGGTTTTCGAGTCCAGTTGTCATATCACGTTCTATCCTTTTCCTTTTCTTGTTGATAAATCATTCTTTTTTCGGACTGTCCTAAGCGTGACCTTTGCATATTGAAGCGTTTTCTTAGCCTTCTCCATGCTTAATTTGACTCCTGTCCTCGACTATACTTGTCTTTTCGTCCTCATCTTGTCATTTGGGCAATATTTCTTGAAATTGTAAAAGGTACAAATTTGACAACATCTCATGAAAAGGCAATGTCTTTTTTAACTGTAAAAAAATACACATTTGCCAACACATCCCATTGAAACATGTATTAGAATGAAGAATTGATCAAGGCAATGCTTACAAGCTTATAATACTTTTTGATGGTCACTTTAAAGTTCAAGCGATAGAATTCCGTCCAGGGCAGATTCCTTTTTTCCTCCTATCTGTTTAAATTTGTTTCCAGTTCTTGCTGTCAGCCAGCTCCATTCTTTATGATAAAGCGGCTTTACTTTTCCATGTTCCCTCTTCTCCCACATTCTACTCTTCTGTTTCATTCATCTATCCTCCTCATTCATCTCTCCTTCATTCTCAATGACACTGGATGAAAGGGCTTGCTATTGCCACATTTCACCTGACGGACCTCTACCCAGGGTCTTAAATACAAATGGGGAGGCTGATATTGCCGAACTTAACTGTAAGGTAGAAATAAGACACCGACAATGAGTGATAATGAAGTTAAACAATCATTGATTTTCAGTAAATACTTTTGTTCAGTCAGTGTAATGTTAGTTCAGTAAAATCCACCTCATATGTATAGTTTTACTATTGACAGCTATAGTGCGCTCATACAGTGGAGGCTATTGGTGGTTTGTCTTGAATTATGCTGTAATAAGCATAAAATTTTTTTATCAATGGATAAATGGTATATCAATCTGTAGAAGAAGTGAGATCCTCGCCAACCTCGACAAGTGTGCTCAATGATGTTCTCGCATGTATTACCCGAATGTCAAATAGTGACGAAAGAACATGTTAGCTCTAGAATAACACTGAGAGTACACCGGTTGTAGTAATTCTCTTAATGGGTTATGGGCAGGGTGTCTAGATGGGCTGCATTCTTAGGCCGTCCTTAAAGAATATTAGGTGGGGGGGGGGGGTCAAAATTTAGTGCACTGGGTGACTGGACGCCTGTAGTGTCAAAAGTTTCCTCTGCTGAGAATGGTTTGATCGTAAGGCTCGGGATCAATTTTATTTAGGGTTATAGTCTGCGGTTCCATAGCTCTGCTGGGATTGGTCTTGTAGAATTAGGGGGAAATCCCTCTTTGATGGGTCAAAGGTCGAGCAGAAATCGTGCATTGATTGTTCTCCTTATCTCCAGATTGAGGCACATCCCTCGCCCCAAGTTCTCCATGTGCATCCTTGGAGATCAGCAGCATCTTGATGAGGCCAAGGCCAATGGCATCCCCTGCATGGACATGGAGGCCCTCAAGAAGCTGAACAAGAACAAGAAGCTTGTCAAGAAGCTAGGTAAGATCAGTATTCCCTACCAAAAGCCAGAGGAGCATGAACTCTGTGCAAGGTGATGTGAGTTTTGGCCAAAACGGCAGGAACTCGCATCATCTCATCTTAAACTGAAAACTAGGATTTGTTCAGTCATGGAAACTTTGTCTGGTTCTGGCATTTTTTTTTCGAGGGTTCATCGCTTTCCCAATTAAACAGAAATGTGCAGCAGCCTGAACAAGAGAAGTGGTTTAAGAAAATGGCTGGGCTGTCACAGAAAAATGTGCAAGTAGCACCGTGAGGAAATTATTTGTGTAAAATATAGTCAAATTCAGGTATCCTCACCCCCCCCCCCCCCCCCTTCATTTCATTGAGCACTATAACGGACCGCTATTTTTTTATCCTTAGTTGCACCATGTCCACATTCTGGCCCAACATTTTATTAAAAACTTTTTCTTCAAATTCTCCCTAAACACCGACAATTTTAAAGGACTCCCCTCTCCACTTTACTTCTATGCAGTTTTTCTTGTTGCTGTGCATGGTTTATCATGTGCATCTAACCTGAAATGTCAATCTTTCTCTTCGTTATTCCTTGAACAGCCAAGAGGTACGACGCCTTCCTTGCCTCCGACTCCCTCATCAAGCAGATCCCACGTATCCTGGGACCTGGTCTTAACAAGGCAGGCAAGTTCCCCACCCTCCTGACCCACACAGACTCCATGGTGTCAAAGGTCGAAGAGGTCAAGGCTACCATCAAGTTCCAGATGAAGAAGGTAAATATAAAATCTTAGCTTTGAATTACATTGAATTGAAAAGGTATTTATTTATTTAAAGGAATATATAGTGCAGCTCAAGAGCTGAATTACATTGAATATTGATATATCATACATAGAAATATGGAGTAAATTTATAATTCATATTAGGACTACTGTAAAGCAAGAAACATGAAACCTTTGCGATTTTGGAAACGAGAATGATATTGAAAAAATGTAGTGTTTTGTCTTATGAATGAGATTAGATTTGAACCACTTTCACGCCTGCCAAAGTGCACGGTTTTATGGTATAAGGCTTTATTTTGTTAAATCTGTTCTTCAGATACGATGCAGCTTCATAATCTTAAAGGTACTATGTCCCTTTTGCAGCCAACTTCAAATGCTGTAGAACTTTGCAGGAATTATGAATATGTCATGTATGTCTTATCTGTGAAATTTAAACGTTGGCAGTCTCCTAATATTCAAATTATGCAAGGAAAACCGTTTACTTGCTAGCCTTCACTGTCAGACACTATTGAGTGACTGACTGGCTTTTTTTCTTCTTTGGTAATAACATACATGAAAAGAGTTGTAAAGGGTACATGAGTATGTCTACATCAAAAACCCACTTCTTGTGATGGCCAAGATTAAACTGATTGAATCTTTGCGCAGCATAAAACGTATGACCATTCGGTACAATCGTCTGAAAATCAAGACTATTACTTTTGGGCTCTATAGCCCTAAAGTCGATTTGACAACTAATAGTCGTTATTTTCCTGCTTGAAGACATTTTCAAGCTCCACCTTTTTTAGGGAAGTTCTAAATTAGTATTATCTTTCAAATGCAGTTGGAATTTAACTTTTTCATTTTTTTGGCCTTTTAATGGGACATTAAAAATCCCTTTAAAATCGGCGGATTTATGACATTGTATTTATAAATAAAGAAGAAGATAATTAATCAAATATAGACCACTGGTTGCCTGTCCTTACATGTGTGCTCAATGATGTTCTCGCATGTATTACCCGAATGTCAAATGGTGACGAAGAAACATGTTAGCTCTAGAATAATACTGAGAGTACACATGTACATGTATGGAGATGCTCACGTCTTAATCTCCCCCCCCCCCCCCCCTATTTTTTGTTGTTGGTGGGGGGGAGGAATTTCTAAAACTTGATCCAAAGGCAAAGAGGTCCATTGCAACTGGGGGATAGAGGGAGGTTCTAGTTGGAACATTGGCTGAAGTGTTCTTTCTTGAGGGGAGGCAGCAGGGGGGGGGGGGGGGGGGGGTCCAGTGATAAATCTGGTAGTCTTATGTGCACCAGACCCCTCATGGTGTCAAGTCTGTATTGCAAGAGACTCCAGCTTAACTTTAGAATACCCCACCAATATGGTTAATGTACATAAACGTCAAAGTCCTAGGGTTAAGATTAGGTTTAGTGTTGCTTGAAAAGCATTTGGTAATTGGTACCCTACGAACCTTTGGTCAATTTTAGTGGTGGGGTATTCTTCAGTTGCTTAGAGACTCCTAAACAGACAATGGCTCATGACTGGCAAAATTCTTCTTTTTTTTTCTCCCGTAACTATCCCTAGGTTCTGTGCTTGGCCGTTGCCGTCGGACATGTGGAAATGGACGAGGAGGATCTGGTATCCAACATCAACCTGGCCATCAACTTCCTGGTGTCTCTGCTGAAGAAGAACTGGCAGAACGTACGTTCCCTCTACATCAAGAGCACCATGGGAAAACCACAGCGTCTCTACTAAACACACAACACCACCAGCACCTCGACTAAACTCGCAACATCACCCACAACAGCAACTTCGTACCGCTCCCGGAAACACCTCCGTTATGAGAAAGCGGAGGACATGATAAAAGCCGTAAGCATAAGGCTTTTGCGATACCACAGTGAACTTTGGTCACTCATTTGTGATATATTGAGCATTATCAGTATGTGATGATGTAAATAAACATTTCAAAAAGATACACAAGGCAGTATATTGGTAATTCTTTATGAGCATTTTTGTCCATTTAAAACTAAATACTGAGAAACCTTGAGATTTGTAAGTTCCTTGTTCGAATCGTTCTGGAGGTAGGGATTTTTTAGGCTGTGTAAAGAGGGAGATGTGAATGAGTAGGATTAAATAGAATGAAAGGACAGAGGTGGATGGAGGGATGGGACAATGTGGTGGGGGAGGAGAAAAGAGAACTTGAAGAGAATTTCAAATAGGGTGGATATTCATGGGCAAATGGAAGATGAATGTTGGAAGGAAAGATGAGGTAATAATGAATGAGTGGTAAAATAAAAAGACGAGAGACAGGAAGAAGCAAATCTAGACATTGAGTCAAAGAATGAAAGGGGGAAGAAAGAGATTGGACTAAACGTGTTTAATGGAAAAGAGCCAAGATAGAAAGAGACATGATAGGGGCCTACTGAATGAAAGTGTGAAGGGAAGTGAAACCAATGCGAAGGAGATGCCTACATATTGAATAAATTGGAGGGAAGAAATGGAAAAACTGATTATGTTGTAGAGAGAGCAAGGAGAAAGAAATGATAATTACGTACCAAAGTCTCCCTTTTCAGCTCTTATACTTCTTTCATTCAATAAATTTTCCTCTCCAGTTGGTATTTCCCTTACTTATATCTGTCTCCCTCGTTTACCTTTTTATTTCAATATCCTTTCTTCTCTTGGTTACTCTTTCCTTTTTTTCAACGATTTTTTTTTTCTCTCTGTGACGGCCCTGCTCCTTTCTTTAGCCTCTTTTTTCACTATTTCATTATCCCCTCTTCAATTTTATTTATAAAACTCCACTCATCCCCCCCCCCCCCTCTTTCTCCCCCCCCCCCCCCCCCCATCTCTCTCTATCCCCCCTTTCCACAATCTTTCTCTTTCCCTGTCTCTTGTTCCTCCATTCATTATATTTACTTATCGTTCTTTTTTGACATTTCAACATAAATCTACATGTATATCTAAACTGAAAATGAAAGTACATTCATTCATAAGTGCTTTTATTGTTTTTAATTCTATCTTTAAAGCTCCTCCCATCCCCTCCTTTCCCTTTGTCTCTCTCTCTCTCTCCCATTCCCAGTCTTTTTTTAAATAATTATTTCTCTTTCACTCTCTCTCTCTCTCCCATTCCTATAGTCTTTCTCTTTCCTTCTCTCCTGTACCTCCTTTCATTATATTTACTTTTCATTCTTTCTTGACATTTCAACATAAATCTACATGTATATCTAAACTAAAAAATTAAAGTACATTAAATCATAAAATGCTTATATTGTTTTTTAATCAACTACTAACAGTGTTCGATTAACAAATGTATCTACACAGAAATGATTAATATTACATTATGAATGCACAAATGTACACGTACAACACCAATTTGCTTATAATAAAACAGGTGTCTGAAGATCCTGAAATGTATGAAGGCATGGTTTAAATTCATATTAATAGAATATTTGCAAGACATTTTGTATTAACAAATATAGAGCCAGGATATATTTATTGATTTTGTGTAAATTACTCAATTGATGTCAGTCATTTTTTAAGTTTGTGTATCTTTTAGCGTATCGTACAATAGGGTACAAATTCAAATAATTTGATGAAATCAAATCTTGAAATGATAAGATAAGGGATCACCAAAGAATACAAACAACACAAATCTGAACTAATATGCTACATAGAAACAAAAAGTAGAATTAGAATTAGTAGGCCTACGTATTTTCGCATTACATTCAATACAAATAGTGATATTGCTCTTATATTATCACAATCAAAACAAAACACAGTCGTGACCGTAGGCGCATAAAGAAAATATAAAGAGAAACTTAAACAACACACAAGCAAACAATATGTATTTCCAACAAAAAGTAATATTGCTAAGTAAATCAGAGGGGATATGCATAACAAAATGTTCATGAACCATCTGGTAATACATGTATTACAAATAAAGGTGGCTTTTTTTTTGGGGGGGGGGGGGCGGGCTGGGGCGTAAATGCGTTTTGCCCCTCCCCCCTACTTTTTCGATTGGGAGAGGGGGCGACCGCCCCCGCCCCCTGCGCCTATGCTGTTGTAGCCATACAACTATAACAGTTTTCATACAATCTTTTAATAACGCAGTTCTTGCACATGATCATTGTAGCAAAAGAACCGAAAGAGTATTCATGACACATTGGAAGGAAGAAAAAATCTTTTGTAATTATTGGTATATGTATATACATGACCATTGTAGCAATACAAATGAAACACTAGTCACACAACTTCATACTAATTATAATCAAAGGTAATTATTGTTTTATATGTATACATTAATATTATAACAATACAATTTGAAACATTTTTATACCACCTTAATATGATTAATCATATGTTTCTTGTATTTATTACCTTATGTGCATTATGACTTCGACTAATAGAACTTTGACAGTATTCATACAACAAAGAAAATGTCTGAAGACCAGTATTGGAAACGCCCCAATTTCAAAAAATGAAATGGAAGCTCTCATTATCAATCATGTGAAAGAATATGTTTTGACTAATACATGATGATAAAAAATTTGCCGGGAAACCGCCTACTACCTTTATATATTTGGTAAATTTGTTTCTCTCATGGTCTGTGAGAGATATAGGGTAGTCCCATATACATCTTTCTGTGTATAGTGCTTGTAACTTTACAAAGAAAGGGCCACATTTCTTATCATTTTGATGATTCCATAACCTTGCAGATGCTAGATGCTAGATGATCAACCTTTTCTGATCGATTCCACAACGTTTCTTTCACAATGCAATCGCATGACCATAACTGGTCTTTACCTTTAATGTTATCTAATATGTACATGATTATTGTAGCTGTGCTACATGAATCTTTTCATACAAGCTTCTTTGAAAACTTGTGTCTACCTAAATGTTTATCTTATCTAAATGACTCTCGTAGCAACAGAAGTGAAACGGCATTCATACATCCTTATAATTAAGAAAGAAACATCTTATGTAAATAACAGGTACATTAGTATTGCAGTAATATAACTGAAACAGTATTTACTCAACCTTACAATAAATCATGTATTTACTACAGTTATTACCTTATGCAAATAGTAATTGTACATGTACTACAAGAGAAGTGAAACAATTTTTTTACAAAAAGACAATACATGTATTTATTACGGTTATCAATTGCTTCATGAAATCATCGATTTAGCAAATCAACTAGAACTTTTTTCATGCAACATTAAAATAAGAGAAGTAATTTCTGCGGTCGTTATGCTACGCATATAAGTATTGTTGCGTTAGACACGCTTTCCACACATTTTGTCACATTCAAAACAAAACACAGTCGTGACCATAGGAGCATGGAGAATATACAAATGGAAACTTTAACAACACAAACACAAACTACATTAATTTTCAACAAAAAGTAATATTGCTAGGTAAATCAGAGCGGATATTTATATCAAAAGGTTCATGAACCATAAAAGAAATACATTTATTACAAATAAAGGTGGATTTTCTTGTATAACGATATTCAACGTCATTTTCATAATTTTCCTTGTTAGGATCCGGCAATATGTTTCGAGGGCTTATTAATGCTTAATGGGAGGTTTGAAGTCTCAAAAACATTTTCAGTTTCCTTTGGTTCCCATTTGGTTTTACTGCAGGTTGTTGATGCGTTATCTAATAGTTATTAGACAAACGTAGTAACAAAAAGTGTGTGAGTGAATCGACTTATTTGAAGCTTCGACCCAACACTGACAGGAGTGATTAGGTAGATTGATTGAGCTTTATTTTTTGTCAAACATGATATTAAATCAGAAGCCCTATTCCAATTTTACTTTGTAAAAGTTAGTTCACGATGGTGGTCAATTTAACAACTCGCTCAGTTCGCGGCCACGTATGATCATTATTCGCAAAACTTTTGCAATATCTATTGCTTAATGACAACACTATTACAAAATGTAAATGGTTATTGCGGCACAACAACTGAAACGTTACCACAACTTAATATAATACACATATTACTGTATATTTTCTTATATACAAATCATTGATACAACACTCCCGAAACGCCTTTTTTTTGCAACCTTAATATGGCTTAATGCAAATACATCCTCGGGTATTTCTTTCTAATCGGTTGTTGTAGATATTCACCATAAGCAACCTTGATCCATCATAAATATAAATTGAAGTAGTGGTTCGGCAAGTGCATTGTTCAAAACATCTGGAAGTCATTGGAAAATGTTGATTGTATTCATAGGAATATATATGAGGTTTATTAATGTTTTATGTCTAGAAATCATATTTGATTAAAATGTATTTGTACAGGATTACACAATTGGTTTTAGTTCTGCTGTATACCTTGATAGTAGAACCTTGACAAAATCGACATTCTAAATATGTTACAAACTTTTGAAAATAATAATTTCAGCCGATGCAGTAATCAAAACAATAAAGCAAATACAAATTAATATAGATAATACAACGCATGTTGAATAGAAGAATTAAAAACGTGAACAGAATATACACTAATATCGATTCTTTTTGGGGACTAAATCCATCAAGGAACATTTCAACCGGAATAAACTAATACCAGGAAAAGAATACAGATACAAATCATAACGGTATGCAATCTTGCTAAAAAGCTGTATACAGTTGAAAAACACTGCACACGCATTTGGTCATATGGGATATAACAAAAGCCATCAAAGCCTTCGAAAACTGATGCTATATGTTGTAATACATATATTTTGAATATAATAGCATATTTATGAGCAGTCATCTTAA